TGCAGCCCTGTTCTGATCAGGAGGTGCAGCCGGGGGTCACCATGCCTTTGGAGGGTAGGGCACACAAAGGGCCAGGAGGCTTAGGGGCCATTCAAACTCAGACCTGGCAGGGGAGATACCATTGTTGTAAAAGTGGTTTTTCCAGGGTAAGGCTCATCTATTGCATTTCAGATGAGCTGACCCCTGTGATTTCCCCAAATGTGGGGAAAATCAACTGCTTAAGTGGGGGCCTGTGTTTCTGGTTTTTCTAGAATCATTCTTTCTCCTTTGGTCTTTGGCTGTTTGCATTGCTTGCTGCCATAGGTCTGTCTGCCTTGCTGGTTTTCCAGGTGGCCTGTAGGAAGCAGATCCTGGAAAGCTAGCAGTGCAGAATGCTGAGGTCCAAACAGCAAGCAGTCTCTGCTGCCAGTTCAGAGGCCTCCCAGCATGGCAGTGGGAGGCTTTTGGGTGGTGGTGGCTGAACCCTGGGTTATTGCATTCACTCCATAAGATGCATGTACTTTCCCTCCCTCCTTTTTGGCGAGAAAGAGTGTGTCTTATGGAGCGAAAATGTGTAATGCTAAACAGCATGGTGTTCAGTTCTGTCACTACTTCTTGTATTGTACTCACGTCATCTATCATCTCGATACATTGATTTTCTGTACACACACACACACGTATATATCTCAGTGTATTGACATATGTATATGTATCTCAATACATTGATTTTCTGTACTATTTAGCCCAGAGGTCTGGACTACCAGGAACTGGATAATCAGCTCTTCAACATGTGAGACTTGGTTTACCCATCACCAAGTTAACAGGCCCTCCATCTGGAAGCTGCCTTCTCTTACAAGTCCAGGCTTCAGTGGGGGCTAGTATACCAACCACATTTCCTCTGCTCTCCCAGTGGTCTGACCTACTGTCCATGCATCCTGAAGAGAAAAATTCTGAAGGAAATTACATACCTATTTCCTCCTGATGTCAGTAACAACTAATAGTAGTGACAATATCAGAAGCCAGCTTACACATAATATTTTAGTTCATCAGAAATGTATTGGGTGAAGCATTTTTGGTAAGTTCATCTCTACAGAGTTTTCCCTCTTTGGCTGAGAATAACAAGGAAGACAAAAATTTTATTGTGAAAGCTATGAGGAAGGGTGAAAAAGCATCATTTAATTACCTGCAATTTGTTATTTTACATGTAATATCAAACGGCTCTTCCAAATTTACTGTGTCTGGTATGGTTTCCAATGAAAGCCTCACATCACCATAACCTGGAGCCTAAACAGACAACAAAGGTTTACTAAAGCACAAGATAAACCAATATTGTACTTAGTTACATGTATGGATTGCGGACGACATTTTAAAGAAGCTAAATGCATATTGAGGCTGAAATACATAGAATCTCCATTTGAGTTTTTATACATGGGAAAACCCTGAACATCCAGTATCATAGACTTTCACAGGTTTTGAAGCCATGCCATTCTGGATACTTGCTATAGAGGGATGAGGTCACAAGCAATGTTGTGTGTGCAAACCTCACTAAAATTCCCAACCGTATACTGGTGCTATTGGCTGTTTCAATGGATTTTATTCTGTTTGAGAATTTCACTCTGAATCAGCAAGACTACAGGCTTTAAGAAGAAGCATATTTTTACTTGCATGCAACTAGGAAAGTTGTGTAACTCAGCAGTCTCTGCAGGGCAACAGTTACCTAGTGATGGGAAACTCCTATGACTATATGAAGATGATGGCCCTTCCCTTTGCCTCCCTCACTGGTTCTGTACAAAAGGACTCCATTATTCTCACCATTAAAGCATCAGATAAATTAATCTAGGAATGATGTTACTAATCCTTTTAAAGACACCTTTGCCAATGGTCATCACAATACATGATAATCAAAACATAATAATTCATAATCTGAAGTCATGTCTTCAGTGTTCTTTTAAAATATTAAGTGAAAAGTGACAGGGGAATGTTCTTAAAGTATTCTTTAACTAAAGCATGACTTTCCTTGTACTAACTTTCATTTAATGTACTTTAGAGCAGTGGTTCTTAACCTTTGTTACTCGGATGCTTTTGAACTGCAACTCCCAGAAACCCCAGTCAGGACAGCGGGTGGTGAAGGCTTCTGGGAGTTGCAGTCCAAAACTCCTGAGTAACCCAAGGTTAAGAACCAGTGCTTTAGAGGAATGCTGTTAATACTTAACAAGCTATCAAATGTCTTCTGAAAACCATCAACCAATCCTTTTTTACGAACATTTTTAAAATGCAGAGTGAAATAAGTCAGAGGGCATGCTCTTCATTCTTTTTTTCCATATACAATATGGAAATTTAATATAGCAAGAAGTATTAGATTTTTATTCAGGAATGCTCATACTGAAATAAAACTGCTAGTCTTTAAAGTGCTATTTTGCTTTCCCCCTCCCCCCACACCACCAATATGCTAAGGCCGACTACCAAGACCACTTCTTTGGACGTTCTGCATTCAGTTATCTCTCATGAGAATATTCTGAACAAGACCTACCATTCTTTGGAGTTGACTGGTTTGCAGCCTCCCTCTTTCACCAAGATTTGTCTTCCATACAATGTCCAGTTTCCCAATAACTGTTACACCTTTAATAACTCCAGCTTTCTCTGCAAATTCTTGCTTGGGTTTAAGACAATATAAATATTGCCGTGTATCCATGGGCTGCAAGTAGCTCCGCATACCGAATGTTGACACACTAGAGGACAAGAAAAAAGTTTGTCCCAAATTCTAATTCAAAATGTTGATTTCTGGACAATAAACCAATGAATTACGAATACTTTATTGCTTCACAGCCAATCAGGCTGAATACATAAATAGAAGTTAAACCACTCTTTAAAAAAATAGTACAGTATTTGGCATCTAACATAATAGGATTTGGCATCTAACATAATGACACTTTTTCCTAAAATAATTAAGGAAAAAATTGAGCATCGTTTTATACATGGAAAGAAGCAGTTGCACGCGTGCTCGGGCACCTCTTGCTGCTGCCGCCGCTGCCCAATTCCCTCTTCCAGAGCTCACGGCTTGTCCCTTCCGGTGGCCCCGAGGCGGCAGCAGCAAGCGGAGGCAAAGGAGCATTCACACGCGCTCGGGCACTTCTTGCTGCTGCCTTCCCTGCCTGCCCAATCACCACCTCCAGTGGGACTGATGGGCTCAGCTCACGTTGCCCCCTTGTCCCCTCTGGTGGTGGGGGCAGGAGGAGGCAGAGGTGGAGGCAAACAAGCAGTCGTGCACGCTTGGGCGCCTCTTCCTCCTCCCGCCATCTCCTTAGGGCAGGGGACAAGGCAGTGACGTGGGCTGGAGTTGAGCCCCGGCAGTTGCACTGGAGGAGGTAATCGGGCGGGCAATGGAGACAGCAACAGGAGATGGAGGTGGAGGAGCAGTTGCCCATTAACTGCTCCTCCGGCCTCCATCAAGGGTCAAAATTAGGGAGTCGTTTTATACATGGGGGGGTCATATACATGGTAAAATATGGTACATATAAACAATCAACTGCAATGAATTCAACCTGCATTTAGATAAATGTTGTCTCTGCTTGTGTGAGCTAATAAGAAACAAATATGGAAGCAACCTTTCTAAAAGGCAAGGACAAGCTTTTATCCTATGGGAGCGGCAGCAAACTACAGATGCCACGGAAGCCTGGATATTAATACAATATAATCTTTTAATAGTACTTTCTTGGGCAGCTTCATATCCCCTCCTGTGGAGGTAGGCTGGAACCAATGAATTGTGCATATTTGTGTGCAACATTCTCATACAGAACAGCCTCCAGATAGAGCAAATAAACATACAAAGCTAGAAAAGAACTTAAAACCTCCAACGTTTCAGACCAAGGAACATTTTGAACCAATAGCAGGGTTAATAATGGTCTTACAAAGCTTGTTTGTCTAAATCTATAACCTCTTACAGTAATTGAATGGTTTTCTATAAATCATTTGGTACAACTGGCAGTAGTTTGGAAGCTGTTTGAAAATAAGAAAGGGTTTCCCCTCAGCTCCTGATTAAGTGGGTAAACTAGGAAAAGATCCTACATTGACTATGGGCCTACAGCTGGACGGCCTCCCATTTACATACACTCATCTCTCCTGATGCTTTTCTTAAAGGACATGAGGATATCTCAATTGTCCTTTCCAGTCCACTGAGATCTAGTGATGTCTGGCGTGGAATGAAGGTAAAGGCTTCTCCTATTCCCCAGCAATCTCCCCGAGACCACTTTCTTCACCATTACTATCTCAATTGTCCTTTCCAGTCCACTGAGATCTAGTGATGTCTGGCGTGGAATGAAGGTAAAGGCTTCTCCTATTCCCCAGCAATCACTTTCTTCACCGTTACTACAGTAGTGGCATGAAAACAAAGAACACTGCACTGGGACAGCGTTTCCATGCACCCTGTTCTGCTGTAAACAATCACCCAGGATGCTCCATTCCTCAACAGAACTAGGGACCAGTTCCTTGGCAAGGAGCTTGATTCTGTGGGAATGTAGATTCACCTTAAAACGGATGCGATGCTCCATTCCTCAACAGAACTAGGGACCAATTCCTTGGCAAGCCGGAAGGAGCTTGATTCTGTGGGAAGGTAGATTCATCTTAAAGATCAATACATGTATGTGATCAATACAGATCACATACATACTTGTCCCAGTATTCTACAAGTGTTAAACATACAGTGCATGGAAATAAATAATTATCCCAGGCACAAAGCTGGTCGCTCCATTCCTCAACAGAACTAGGGACCAATTCCTTGGCAAGCCGGAAGGAGCTTGATTCTGTGGGAAGGTAGATTCATCTTAAAGATCAATACATGTATGTGATCAATACAGATCACATACATACTTGTCCCAGTATTCTACAAGTGTTAAACATACAGTGCATGGAAATAAATAATTATCCCAGGCACAAAGCTGGTCACCACATTTTGAATTCAACCAAATTCTCTTAGAACACTGCCAGCAACTTGTTTGGTGCTTGATTGTTGTGTAATACTGATGCCAGAATAGACAATACGGTACAGAAAGACATCAGGGTCAATCATCGACTAGAAATCGTCCAAATAAGAAAACTGCTCCATGAATACACACAGCAGCTTCAGTTTTTGCGAGGTGAGATCTAGCCAGGATGGCTTAAATATGCAAATAAGGCTCTTACTTGTTCCCACTCTGATTGACAGCATTTAATTCTGCTACATTGTACATAATAGAAGGCTCCAAGGACACCTTCTCCATAAACATTGGAGAGGTTGTGATATTTTGAATCTGGGCTTCCAAAAAGACTTCATCAGTCTGAAAAAGCAGAGATAATATTTAAGTTATAAAGGGGAGTTTGACCTGACAAAGATCCTCAGCCTCTTAAGCATTAAAAAAATATTAAAACCACAAAATGTAGTTAGTTTCATGCCTGAAAATCAAAGTAACAAGTCATTAAATGGAAGAAAGTCTTCATCCCAACAGAGAGCAGTTGAAGCAAAATTGTTAGTCAACTGGAATAGTGCTGAACAATGGATGTGGGATAATTTTGGTACATTCTCCTGTTTTAGGGTCATGTCTATATGCCCTTAACCAGATTTACAATAATGAGCTCCAAGGGTTAACTTCAGAGTTTTACAAGGAAATGAAACAATGCTTACAGAAATGTGCAATGACTGCAACACACAATATAAACATGCCATGCTAGATGAATGATGCATCAGGCTGCATACAAAAATAATTTTTTAAAAAATACAGGTTCATGAGTAACAAGGGCTTGTTTTAAACAATACATCAACTATTACAGTGACTCAGATGCATGACATAAGCACTGTTCAAGCTTACCTACAATTTAGTGCCCCAAACACCTCTAGTCCTGTTTCATAAACTTTTACAATGGCACAGAGCTTAACTTCTGCACTGCCTCAATAGCTTCATGTCTGGCTTTAAGACATCCAGAAATGGGGCTCTAATGTCACTTCTGTTTCAGCTGTTAAAGAATTCAGTGTAAATAGGCTCTCAGTTACAAATGGTGGTTCAAGATTCACCCTTCTGTGAAGGTGGGATCAATTTCTGGAAGGCTAACTCCAGAGTATACAGAGGCAAAGACTGATGAAAAATAAAAGATCCCTAGCCACATTACCCTAAGTTCTTTACATGCAGCATAATCATTTGCATGTCCATTCAGAAAAAAGCCTCAATGACTTCAATGAGACTTTACTTCCCAATAAATGAGCAATAAATTGCAGTTCACATCTGGCCATTTACTTTACTGAGATATTACAAAAGCACCTTTGCAGAATTATGCTACTTATTTCTATGCTAGTTATTTCTAGTAACATCAAGTGAGAGATATTAGTGGCTCAGCACTTGAAAAAAACATTACATTACCTGGTCATTTGTACATCTCAGTGTAGACAGATATGCATATTTGAAGGTGTAAACTGCATCATGTCCCATATACCACCATGTGATTTCTGTGGCAGGAACACACACTGCTTTAATGTGTCTGTAAGATCCTAGTCCTGGAAAGCAGAAAAGGTATCCAGCCATTCAAAGCTGGAAACAAACCCTGCTGATTATCAAAGTGATGCCAGCATGGTAGGGATAAAGGGAAGCAGTTGAACTCTTAACATCACATCTGACTAGAAGCCCTGTAGACAGGGAAGAACAATCAGCAAACAGGAAACTACTGTTTTTGAGAAATAAGAATACAGTACAGTAGTCCTTTTACCTACAAATCCCTGAAGTAAACTACAAAAAGGCAATTTCAAACAGAATGTTATGTAGTCAAAACAAAGCTCAGGTTTCCAGCTGTATGCAGAAGATCTTCTGTGGGGCGATTTGGACATTAATGCTAAACCACAGTTTAGTTTGAGAAGAACAAGCCACAGTGAGCTATTGAAAGCAAACCCATTTCCAAACACAGTTTATGGCTTGCTTTTGCTAACTATAGCTTAAATGATACACAGAAGTGCAGTTAACCTGAACACAAGCAATCATTTCCAAATTCTTTGCAGTCACAATGGTAGAGGAGTCAGAAATGTAAATAAATGATTTTAAGGGCTCATCATCATTACTGTAAACCATGGTTCAGCATTATATCTGAATGCAGTCACTCCGATAAAACACCAGTGACAAGGTGTCTGACTTTTAAAAACAAAAAAAAACCAAAATTTGCTAGGTCTTAAATCCCTGGTGCTGGGAAATTTTGTGTTATTCTGGAAGAATATCCCATAAATCCATTGCTTACATCTATTTTTTTCCAGATGCCCCACCCATTCATTTTAAAACAGCCACCATCAGCAAGACTCTAGCATGAGCTACAATGAGGGAAGAAAACAAAACCAAGCAGCATAATGAAAAAGCAAGGTAGCTGATGATGAGGCAGGGTTTGATTAGTCTCAGTAGCTTGATTAGATTGGAGTGCATGGTAGTAGATTTGCTAGATTTTTCTGCCACACATATTAAGATTTCAATTAAATTCAGACTGCGATTACACCATTACAATTGCTGCTACATGCATTCAGGAGTTTGGAAGCAGAGGTCGAATAAGCATGTAAGGAAGATGCAATACATTTTGGGCTCTCTCCCCCCCATCCAGTGTCTTCACAAAACAAGAGATAACAGAAGCAGAGATGTGACTTGACTTGACATGAAACAAACACACATGCAGGGTTGTGTGTACTTCATGCTACCCTTCCCATCACACACCTCTACACTCAGGCAAGCCAAATACAGGCAGAAAGACAAGTTGTGCAAAGTAAAGAACTTTGCATACTGAGCTTATCCAAAATACAAGGGAAAGAAAAAGCTGTAGCTTGCAGATATTTGTAAAATGTTTGTGCAAGACTGACATATTTATGGCGCAACGAATTAAAATGAAATACAAGCCTCTGCTTGTTAGCAGATTTTGGAACCTGTGAGTAGAACAACTTCAGATGTTGTTTCATTTTTCATGTAACAGTCCCATAAGATGAAAAAATGGCCTTTCTATGAGTGGAAGATCTCTCTGCAAAATGGCAGAAAACTCAATATTTTTGATTTCATGCAATTCCTTTTTTGCGGGATAACTGTGTATATTGCAGTGAAAGCAAAAAAGAAGTCTAGCATCACCTTAAAGGCTAACAAATTTTAACTGATATAAAATTTCGTGGATAGTAACCTACTTCCTGAGATGCAACTGAAAAAGGGGACTACTAACCACAAAAGGCTATGCCAAGCCAGACTTGTTAAGTCTATAACATGACTCATCGTTATAATTTCTCTGATACTTCTAGAATTTTACAATACTCATCCCATTATTTTAAGTCATGAGGTGCATGAAGAAGCTAATCAGTACAACGTTGACTACCAGACGTTGAAAATCTTAATAAAATACGCTCTGCTGGCTTCTCAGATTTCTGAAGACATTACAGACACATCTTCACATCCTTTGTTGTTGTTTTTAATGAGTGCAAGCATCCCCATGAAACTTGTGGGCAAACAAAACTGCAGTGTAAAGAGCCCTGGTCTATGGGAGCGCTGGTCTGCAATCTCCAGAGAGATTGTTTGTTTGTCACAATACTTTAATGGAATATTTGCTCGGCACTGTAGTCTGAAATATTAAATGTTGGTAAACAATGGATAACAAGGAGAGAGCTAATATAATTGAAGAGCAGTATTGCCCTCCCCACCAACTTCTTTTTAGTTCAGTGAAGGAGGAAATTATACAATCCAATATCTGTGGGTGAATCGGTACAAAAGACATTGCTTTTCCATTATGTTTGTGAAATAATGTTAGTAACAGGCAGAAAGACAAACAGAAGACAAGCATACATACATATTTATAAATAATAAATAAAATTACCACAGAACTGAGGTCACTCTAATGGGAAAATAAAAAAGAAAAACATTAGAGAAATTAGGGTTAAATGTTAAAGAAAAAAGGAGGACAACTAAGTTTCAAATAAAATGCATCTGTTTTGCATTTTTTTGGTATATCTAAACAGGACAGCATTAGTAAGAGAGGAATGTAAACTGGCAATAAAAATAAATAGTGACTAATAAGAAATCTTATTTCTAAATAAGACTTATGTCAACAAATGGTACAATGAAAAAAAAAGAAATTATGTGGAACAGCAAACAGTTATTGCACAATGAACACATCAGTAAACCAACGCAGGCTCATGAAAGAATTTCATTATTAAGCTGAAGAGTTCCATTTGGGGAAGAAATTGACTAGAACTCTTTTCAAACTTCGTTCTAGAATAGAGCTGTTTCAGCCAGAAAGGTTTAAACTAGAAAGTCAAAATGTGTTCAGTGCCAGCCAATAGTTTTTAGCAGGTTAATTGCATGGAGTCACAAATTGCAAGAACATGGTGAGCGCTGCTGGAAGGAAAGTAGTTCTAATTTAAACTTTATTTGCCTACATTCACAATCTACTGCAGTAGTTCTCAATCTTGGGTCTCCAGATGTTCTTGGACTATAACATCCCATAAATCCTGGCTCACATAGCTAGTGTGAGAGCTTCTGAGAGTTTTATTTATTAAAAATATTTTTATCCTGCCTTTCTCCTTACAAAGGACCCAAGTTCAAGAACATCTGGGGATGCTGAAAACCCAGGTTGAGAACCACTGTTCTACTGTGTTGACAATCACAAGCCTTTGTATGTAAGACTCCTTAACTTGAACTATATTCCAGCAGGTCTTTGAAATTCACAGTATTACAGAGTGTGTCAGTGAGACATGAAGACTTCCTTGTATCTGCTCCACAGCTTTCACAGCTTACAGGAGAAATGGCAGCAATTCTATTCTATAACCACTGTGCTTAGCATCGCCCTATTTTATGTCAATAGCCACTGACAAATAATGATTCTATACTTCACAGCTGAAAGCAGCTTAACCTTTTAAACTAGATGTATTTGATAGGCAAGAATAATTTAACAGGGAATACAGCAACATTTTAAAAAAACAATTACATTTAAATATATAGCTGCACCTTCCCCAAATAATAATGATATTGAAACTATTTTCCTCAGTCAGAAAAGTGGAGAGTATTCTACTCCCCAAGCCCCTCAACAGCAAAGTGGCTGCTCTTTATTGATGCCGCAGAGAAATCTAATGGCAGAATCAGTGTCTCCTTTTTGGCATTACTGTATTTGCTGGCGTATAAGACTACTTTTTTGCCCTGAAAAACATGCCTCCAAGTGGGGGGGTCGTCTTATACGCCGGGTGCACTTCAGTTGGGATAGACATAGCTGCCCATAGTGGCCTTCTGATACTCGCCCGGTGCCCATAGTAGCCTCCCGATGCCTGCCCACCTCATTCTACATACCATTCAGTATGGCGCGGTATCCAGCGCGGCCGCGGCGAGCATCAGCAGCGAGACAGGGGTGCCAGCCTTTTCGACATGACCGGTCCGTTCTGCTAGGCGGGAAGCAGTGGCGCTCCAGCCCGCCCCTTGTCTATGCAGAGCACACACATGCGCACTAGTGCCGGTCACAGAGAGATGCAGGGGCAGGCTGGAGGCGCTGCGGTTGCACTGTGGCCGTACAATGGGGACAATGAACAGCACCTTTTATTTGGTGTGTGGAAGGTGTGCGGAAGAGGGGGTAGTCTTATACGGCGAGTATATAACAAATTATATTTTGAGTGGAAATGTTGGGGGCTCATACGCCCAGTCGTCTTATACGCCGGCAAATACGGTACCTGTGTTCTCCATGGCAAACAGCACAGTGCATAAAACAAAGGAAGTTTTAAGTATATTTGAATACATTTGTTTTTTCCGTTTATTTTAAAACAATTGTTACAGCTTTAATTCTTCTAGTTTTTCCTCCAAGTTTTAATTTTTGTTTCCATTTGGTGTGTCCTCTAACTAAAAAATACTATGTTCAAACTGACAACACTAGTCAAGCAACTCTTAGTTGTCAAAAGATACTCTACTAAAGATACAGTTTGAAAAACCTTTTGCCAGGAGAAGAAAACGAAGCAGCCTTCCTATATTTCAGGATGAAAATACAGTGGTGCCTCACATAACGAGCGCACCGTTTAATGACGAATTCGCATAGAAATCCATTTTTTGGGATCGCTAACGCGATCGCATACCGATGGTTCCAATGGGCAAAATTTGCTTTGCGACGATCGGTAAGCGTTTCGCTTACCGATCTTCGCATTGCGATGTCGGGGGAACAGCTGATCGGCGGTTCCAAAATGGCCGCCGGAAGACCCAAAATGGCCGTGTGCAGCGTTTTCGCGCCCTACCCTCGCTTACCGAGGCCGCGAAAATGCCTGCGCTATGGAGGAACATCGCTGAACTGTGAGTTTGGGGCCCACTGGAACGCATTAAACGAAGTTTAATGCGTTCCAATGGGTTTTTCTATTCCGTTTAGCGATGTTTCCGAATAGCGATGGTTAATCCGGAACGGATTAACCTCGCTATGCGGGGCACCACTGTACATAAAATTCTAATTAAGAACCATCAGTTCCATTTCCAAAATAGTATTTTTACTGTTCACATTGTGGTACATTAGGCACAAAATATCATGCTCTACACTTACCTCAGCATTGTAGAATTTAGTTTTCACATCTAGCGGTTTGAGGACCTGTATGAAAAAAAATATTATGTACTAAAAGATGATATACTATAATGAGATGTATCATATCCTTCCATCAAAACTAATATTTTCCACTTCTGTCTCTTTTAGGTTCAAAGTATTTTAAAAAGTTAAAATATTCCATCTGAAGTGTTTTGAGCTAATCTAGTCTAACTTGTTTTTATATACACAGACGCTGACATTTATGTCAGCTGAAAAGCCCAACCCCATGCATCCCATTTCTTTATCTCTAGTGCCATAGCCTCCTCAGCAGTTTGTTTAAAGCCAAAGATATCAGAGGAACTTAGCAAATACCTCCCTCCCACAGCATGTGTTTTTATACAAGAAGCAACATCTTGAGCTCAGAATCCATCTGAATCCTTAAAATAATTATATACTTATGAGTAAATGGTTTTTCACTTTCATCTTACCAAGAAATGCAATCATGTGCCTTTCTGAAAGCTAGGACAAAGCTGTTCTTCGTTAGTTTCTACTATAAGAAACACATCACCCATGGGCACACCAGCTGTAAGCAATTGCAGGGCCAGCTTGCTAAATAAAAGCATACAACTTCTATTCTGGCATTGACGTTCATTACAATCAGCAAAATCATATCAGGTATCAGAAGTATGCAACAAATAGATTGAAATAAAATGTTTTCATCTAGAGGGTCCAACCTAGAAATCAAGGCAGACTGTAAATGCAATTTACAGTTTATTTTTGTTTGAGGTCTAATCTTAAATTTATTAACATATGGGCCTTAGAGAAGGGGGACGGATGTTCTGAAAGGCACCCAAATATTTTGATAATTTCCATTAATTCAGTGATATTATTTCAACTGTTGACAGTTTACATCAAGGCCCCAAACACAGCAACACAGATTTAAACTCATGATTGTCAAATTCAGTTGGAATACCTGCATACATAGTATCTGTTTTCTGGCTGGACTCTGATAGCTTCAATAAGAAATAACAGGAAGAAATTCAGTTTCTCTCATCATCTCAAATTTTCACACTATGGTGATGTCACCTATTCATTTTCTGCTTCTTATATTGTACAGCTGTTAAAGGCATAGTAAGCTTACAAACCATTCCTTTCTCTGGGGATTTTTTTACAGTATTAGTATGTTTTAACACCTACCCGAAAAAGGATGTTTTAGTTCTTATGTCACCTGGAGAAGTTTTAAACTCCTCACACAATTATTTATAGATTTAAACTATATGCTGTCAATAATTCTAAGCTCTATAGCTTTACCCATCTCCATTATATACATTTACAAAAATTCATAAACCTGCTTTTCAGTTGAACACATCTAGATTTGATTTATAATAATGAAATTACAACACGCATGTTTAAGCCCCACCACAAGTCCTCTGCATTCTTGCCCTTCCTGGCTTTTGAAATCAGTGAGAGCTGGGTTTTCTGTCAGTCTCTGTGAGGGAGGACACGGCTCTTAACCTGGTTTGGACTGGACTGATTTTGAACAACTGTTGATTTGTATCTACTGTTTCTGGGCATGACACTGAAACAGACAGTGTTTTCAGACTCCAGGGAATTTTGGATTGCACTGATTATTGGATCCATTCCAATCTAGCTTCAAACACCATTTGCAGATAGAAACTCCTTGGTTGCTGTAGTTGATCACTAGTGCCAGAGAATGAAGACAGAAATGCTCCCTTCTGATGGCTCTCTTGTACCTCTCAGCAGCTTCTAATATCACTGGATGTGGCACTTTGTGTGCTGTTTTAGGCACAAACACTTCCTCAGCAGAACTACACTCATGGATGTGCCTGCAAGCTGAAGAAGTGGGAGGTGACTTTCTCTAAGTCCTGGTCCCTTTACAGCCTCTTGTTCTCCTGAAAGTCAGCACTACAGGGCTGAGAAAGGTATGAATGAGCAAAAATCCTTCCCATGCACCAGCAGCAGCCTCTGCTAATTCTCAATCCCATCAATGAATAGATGGATGTTGACAGCTAGAAGAGGATGCTGCTGGTGCAGTGGAAGAGATTTTTGCTGATTCATCTCTTTATACCTGTGTGGTACACAGGGGATGGATGGATGCTTTGCTTTCATGAATGCCTCCTTAGGATAAATTAATTATCTCACATTATATACTCTTTCTTGTATTTTGCAGCACTGATATGAAGTAAAAAAATTAGATAAACCGGACATGAAAGAACACCTAAAAACTTCTATTTTGCCCCAACTGGATTTTCAAATGTAAAATTCTTTCAGTGCTACCAGTTATTTCAGTACCTGAAATTTGAAGAACTTCCGGAAATACATCTTTTCACCATTCTGTGTGGTGTAGCTTACTGCACATACTAAACTGAAAGAAAAACCAAATAATTAAGTGATTTTAAAATTATTTTGAAACATTTTAGTTATAATTGTTTCTGAGTCTTGAATTAGTTCTCAAAATGGGAGGGATGAACAGATTAATCGGGGCAACAAATAAATATTTCCAGACAATTGCTTTAGCCTTCTGAAAACATTTGTTAAAATATTTACAGATGTCTAGTAGAGAGTTGGAAGAAAGCATCTCACATGTGTGTCCCTATTTCCTTTACTTCATGGTGAATGACGTCATCAATGCAGCAGTCTTGTTTAAGTTCAGCTACTGCGGCACTAGAAGCTGAAAGGTTTAAACGCTGTGAACTTGTCTGTAGATCAGCCTTGGAATTGAAAACAGAAACGAAATAAGTTGTTCAGTGAAAAGAGTTGTTGTTTCATATGATTTCATCTAATATTTCTTTCTGCAACAGCTCTCAGGAAACAAAGCTAATTTGTGCTTAGCTCCAGAAGCAAGGCATTGAAAATTATACGCACTGTCAGATGAAATAGACACACCTAAAGGAGGTGCTAATTTCAACAACTGTTGCAAATCTATGTTGCAAATACTGTTCATTAAAATTATTTTCACCTGCTTTTACATGGTCTTTCCTCTTAAAGCACTAACTCAAAATAAGAGCGGAATCTACTGAGATTTGCTGAACAAAGATCACTGAAACTTGTCCTTTTCTTAAAGATTGGTGCTTGTGCAGAACTTCAGAATTAATTACACTTTAGAAAGCAAGAAAAATGCAGAACAGAGCTATTTTTAGACTTTGCCTTAAATGGGGGTGAGCCATTTTGGCCCTCAAACATGGTTTTGGACTCCAGTTTCCATAATCCCTCATCATTTAGGGCAGGGCTGGTGGGAACTAGAAGTCCAAAATATTTGGGGAAGAAATTGACCATACAGTAGTCCATCCTATATTTAAAAAGACTACTCAAAAGAAACAATTCCTGATGAATAACTAGGTTGGCTGGTGCCTCTGAGAGCTAAAGTCGAAATCTTCTAGAGAGCTAAAAGTCAGGAACTATTTTATAGTTTCCCAAGTTGTTTTTGGAAATACCCCTACTTTTTAGTTGTATGCTTCAAAGTTGTTTTGTATCTGATAAGCTAAAAAAATGCAAAGTAAAACCCCCTTTAATTGGTAATTTATCTTGAATAAACCTTTAGAACCATTAGAGAGCTCAGTGGTTTAGCCACATGTTGGGAGTTTGATTCCCCACTATATCTCCTTGACAGGGAATAGGCTCAATGATCCAGGTCTATAGTTCTAAGATTATTACTACTACTATTATTATATTATTATTAGATAAAACCAAGCATACCTTTACCAAAATGTCTTTTACAACTTGCTGGCTGTCATTGTGAACACTGATGTAGCTGGAGAACGTCTCTCCCAAAAATATATTTCTGTTCAAAGGGGAAGGAGAAAGAAGAGGGAAAGAGTATTGTTGAAACCTTTGCTTTAAATAAGGCATACATGTCTGAATTATACATACATATTGGTTATGTGATTCTCACCCAAAGTTCTGCGGCAATGTCAGCATTTCTCCAAGCATCAATGTTTCTGCTCCTTTAACGGTGGAAGGATCATCTTTCATTAACTGGTTAAACAGATCTCCTGTTTTAACATAAAATAAAGTTAATACATATGGTCAATTACAGTTAGAGCTTCAACTGATTAGAAACTTTAAAGTGAGTATCTGCTGTTTTGTTTTATTTAATTATACACTGAAATTTATATCACTCTTAGAGACCTGATAAAGCTTTTAAAAAAACTGAACAGTCTGTTTCTATCACAGCAAGTCAGTATAGCACTGAGAATTAAGTTTTCCCTTTTCTTTCTGTTCCGTATCTGTTCAAATGGCAAACCTGAAAGCAAGGGGTTGTTTTGTTTTTATTAATCCGAAAACCATTCTGGATTCCTTCATGGGTAAGAATGGGCTATACATGCTTCAACCCTGTTGTACTCTGACAGGATATTGTGGGCTTCCAGAGTAATGTTCTGCTATGGAATCCATGCAGAACTAGACTGCATACTGGGGCAACCTCATCTGAATAACTGTAAACAACATTCTCAAATTCCAGCCATATGCTGGATCTTTTTTCTATTAAAAGAAAGGATGGGACAAAAATGTCCCAATAAAATTATCATTTTTACCACTGAACCACTTTTTAATCCCAGCCAAAATAATGCATTGGGACCAAGATGTGTCATGATATTTTTTGGAGAACTGTAATGCAGTGAAACAGAACTGATGTACTCTTGTTGTCAGCAGGTTACTCCATTCTGGAGAAATTTAATTTTATTCCATTGGGAAAGGGCACTGGAATTCACCAAATCCAGGAATTATCCACAGTACAATCAGTGTTCCTTGTTTTGTTTGTTTTATACAATCTTATTTTTCCCCCTTTCATTCCACTGTATAATTTCCAGCACTGGGTATTTCAGTGGAGAACTTGCTTCTGCACACTTAAAAACTCTTTTAAATATGGGGCATTTCTGTACTGTGGAATATGTTGAAATTCTCATACGGTAAAAAAAAATATCCCTCCATTCAAACAATGCAAGTCTTCTTATGTTAGTACACAAGAGTTAGATAAAAGTTCCGCAGTTCTAGAATCTAAACCTAACATGCACAAATAAGCAAACTACAGACCATAATTTCCAAGATTTTAATTAACTACACTGTTTGACACTTGTATTATTCAGCAACGCTTCTTATATTTCTTTTAGAATCATGATTCAAGCATTGCAAATATTTTCTAGCTTTTAAAAAACAGTTCTGTCAAAATCAAATCTACCGCATGTCTAAATATTATTTAACACCAAATCATTTACCTGGCAAATCTCTCTCTTCACAAGTTACAGGAATATTGGTGAACAAAGTAGGCTTGGTCAATCTCATTACTGTAAATGTAGAAAGCAAATGTAGTATCAACACAACCATGTTTAGGAGCTCACTTCATCAATCACAAAGCCTATTCAGACATTGCCTCTGACATTCTACTCAGAACAAGATAAGGAAGGCAACTCTGCTGCCACCTCTGCCCCATCACAGGTAGACACTAACAACTGAAATGCGAAAACCTGTGTTTACTGGGATCTGGGCTCTCTCTCCACCTGCAATGTTGTTACTACTAACAACTATAGAGAGCAGTTATAAACAAGATTCAAGGAGAACATACATGGAACAGGACACTTGCAAGACATTCTGAACGGCCATCTTTTCCCCTCTTAAAGGATATTTATAACATTTCCACCCCATCTTTCTGCACTGAACTTCAAAGTCAGACAGCAATAAAAGAGTAAACTATCACATTAAGCATACAATAAAAAGGCATAAGAAAGCAGTAAACAACTGAATTAAGAATTTGGGAGAATCCATTTGTCTTTAGTACTACATAAAGGTTGCTAGCCTAAGCCACAAAAGAGATGGGAAGAGAGTTGGGTTTAATTTGTTTTGAACTACAGTTTCCCAAACACCCCAGGCAGAACAGCCAATGGCCATACTGGCTAGGGAATTCGGAATATTATAGTCTAAAACTTTCCCACACTCTAGATAACAGTCACACACCCATGACAGCCTTCTAAATCCTGAATATCAAGGCCCTATCCTGAGTCAGCCACCTAACATATGAAGAAAGGCATATACAGAGCAGGATCTCTAATGAAGACTTACATTTCAGAGGAATTAGTAGTGGAATAGGCAGTCCTATGAATACTCACAGATCTCACAGCAAAGTTCCAGCGATTCACAGATTTTTGTATACTTGCATAATAGTTACATCAATGAGGAAGTTCAAAATGTGAGAAAATTCTGCCATTCCCCTGGTTTAATTGCTGAGGGAGGTAATGGGAAACAGCTGGAGGTACAATGAATTAGTTTTGATTCACAGCTGTCAAAAGATCATAGGAATATTGATGGAGCTGTCCTTGAGTGTCTAATGCCATGATAAGGCTTGGAAGTGTTTTTTTTTAATGGAGTGTAGAGGTCTAATTCCCTGCCTTCACTTCAACATTTATTTTAATAATAACAATAATGATTTAAATTACTTAAATCCTGGAAAGACCTATTACTGACTGCAGGATCAAAAAACCAAAAGGGAATAATTTGAACAGTGTCTGCTTTTACTGAACTATTTTGCTTGAGATGAGCATAATAAGAAAGATGAGAGGAAACTGGTCAAAGAACTGTAGCAGATGTTGACTTACGTGGGTATCTCAGAGACAACAGAAGCATGCATCCTTCAAACCAAAATAGATGCAGTAATAATATTTTAAGGTTCCGATGATCATTCAGAATCCTGGGGATTCACTCCAGAATTTCTTGGGGGGGTGTCCCTTGATCAGTCATGAGTTACCTACACATAGGGCTACATTCAACATTAGTCCTAGCTAGAGTAGACCCACTGAAATAAATGCAAGTAAGTTACAGTTGTTGTGCTAAAATATTTCAGTGAGTCTATTCTAGGTAAACTAAATGTTGAATTTTGCTCATAGTATTAATAACAATGGTACAGCAAGTACAAGTACAGCAATACGTTGAAAGTACTTATGAGGAATATTTTGCAGAAAGAACAGTGTGTACCTGATGTTAACTTTTCTTGTCTACTGTGTGCACTGGAGCCTAATCAATCATTGCCACATCCATTCATTCTAGGGCACATATGCTGAGGATGGATAGTAAACACTTAAACCACCCAAGTGAGAATGATCTGCAAATATAACTCTTTCCCAATGACATATGCCAGGTAGCAGCTGACCAATTTTGTAGACGTTTTGTGCAAATAATAACAATACTTTTAAACTTCAATTATGTCAGGCCATGCACCTCAGCTGGATCCCCCCCCCATTTTATTATTCAAAATCAACATACAAAATAAAACAATTTTATAACAGTAGCACAAACATTCATATAGGTACAGTGTATATCTGGAGTAAAGCTTATTGCCTGCAGACTTTAGTATACAGTACTTTTGAGTTTACAGCACATCCCTCGAAGATTTCAGGCAGTGTCCTTTTGGTCTAAATTTCTGTGTGAATTCTCTGAAATATTTAGTGATGGGATTCCACGTTGCAATGAAAATGTATGGCTTGTCTATCCCTTTCGACTGCCTCAAACATATGTTAATTTTTCTGCCAGTGCCGTCTGTCATATTCTTTTAAATCAACTCTCTACTGTCAACCCCGTCAGCATCCTCAACTAGTATGCTGTTATTCCTAGCTGCACTGCCACCACTAGGAAGGACATAAATTGCTTGTGCAGCAGAACTACTGGATAGCTCAGTGGTGTAGATATCTGGGTTGGGAGTTCAGTTACCCACTGTGCCTCCTTGACAAGGGCTGGACTTAATGATTCATAGGGTCTCTTCCAGCTCTGCAGGTCTAAGATAATTATTGGGACCCAGAACGATTGATAATATATGCAAAGTCCCAGAAAACTCAATATTTTGATTAGTCATTTTTAAAATATGACCATCCCCTCCAAAATGTTTTAACTTTGGGGCACTCCCATCATATGTAAGTAAATGTTCCTCTCTGGCCACACACTCTCCAGCATGTAGGAAACATTTGGACATTCATTTTAGATAACCAGAGATGGCTTAAGTGCACTCAGGTGGATTTTGCTTAGAATACTCAAATACTATTCAGTTTAATATTCATGAAATCAATATAATTTCACTGAGAGAAAATGATCCAGCTTGAAATTTAAATATTCATGAACTACAGAAAAATCTAAAAATACTGGTTTATTTAGTTTCCTAATAGAAATCTTTAGGATATAAAGATGCTAATTGCACATTTCTATCTAACTCTTCGAATGTTAGGTGTTCTCTTTGTGTGAAGATGTTTTAGTAGAGACATAATTGTAAACACAGTATGATGAACTAAGGTAGCGTAACTGTAATCCTTACAAAATGGGAGGTCAAACATCTTTGTGTGGTGGACCCCATTTAATTAAAGGTACCCACTCTTGCTCCAACTGTAAGTCTTTATTACTCAGTACTTTGATACAAGTACGTTCAGACACAAAGAAGGCAATATCTCACATGTAAAATGGTAATTACTGTTACACGTTTAATTATTCTTACAATGGACATCACTTGAAGCAGGTTTTTTTAAGCTTAAAGTTAAATCCAATCCAATCTTGTACAGCTCAGTTTCAGCAGATATCATACTTATCCCTCCAATTTTCACCGAGTACACACAATAAAAAAAACACCAAACCACATACACAAATCTCATGCTTTTGCTCAGACATGTTTATTGACAATGTACAACTCTCTCCATATGAATTAATATTGCAACAAGGAGATTTCCCAAGTGCAATAAAGCAAATTTTCACATTTATAATCTTACAAAATAAGAAATGCCTAGGGCAAGCTAATTAGATGTTTTTTCATAAATTCCTCACATACACCCTTTTCTAAAAGTGTACCTAAAACAGAACATTTCACAGAAAATGCATTTCGGTTGGAAGCTACAAACTATGTATAATACCATATTTGTGAACAAATAAATTCATTTTACCCCCAAGGTTCAATTTTTCTCTAAGATTATTGGCAACATATTCACAGTACAGTATATCACAAAAAATCAAAATCTGTCCCTTGCATCTCTGGATGGTAGCATTACAAGATGGCAGTTCCTTGTGTTTGATCATATTGTTAAGCTTTACCCAAATTTCTTCTAGTGTTTGATTATTAAAGGTGGATGGTTCAATTATCCATTGGGCTCTATAGAACACATGCAGCTTTAATTTTTGTAGAGTGATCTGCAGTTCTCTAGATAACGGGAGAATCTTGTATTTAAGCTTAGGGCTGGGAACAGACACACTCCAAGATCTTCTGAAGGGCTGTTTGCTAGTTGCCAACTGCTTTCCCAAGCTGTTTGTATCAGTTTTTGCTTCTAAACACCATCTAGCTTTTGTATCTGGATGAAATTCCTGGAGCTTTTCTGTACAGTCATAACAGGGGGACCCACAAGCAGCTTCTGGGGTTGTATGATGCTGTTTTAGTTCTTCAACTTCATGAATTGAAAGAACTGGAGGTTTTCTTTTGGGCTTGAGGGGGCGTTTGCCCAAGTCATTAGGAAACCAAGGTATGAAATTTGGCAGCTTCCGAAGAGGAAATCCCCTCAGTGTCTCTTCTGCGATTTTTTGCAGTTCTGCAGGGTCCCTTTGCCATGTTCGATAATGCAGAACCACATCCATGCTCAAACCACAGGAATCCACACATTCTTATCACAGAAGTTTCATGGACAAGAGCTTCATCACTAACAAGGTGTTATTGCATTAAAAAATCTTATGCCATGTGCTGAGCAGATCAGAAGAAAACAGGACCTGGAGCGGAAGTATTATAAATAATCAGATACACCAGCAGCATTACCATACATCTTACAATTCTATTAACCAACCTCTGTGTAGAAAATGAGATAACAAATGTTACCTCTTGTAAAAATATGCCACTACAAAAATCCTCCTGAGTAGTACCCTCTAAGAATTAAAGTTCTGTTTTATTTGCTTTCAGACAGCCATCTGGTTTGCTACCAAACCTAAGTAAAACCAGAATATTACAAAGATTTGATTCAGAAATTAAACAAGTGAGCTGCTCCAGTTGGAAATGAATCCAGCTGCAGCACCGACATTCTTTCCAGGTACTTCTGTGATAGCTGAACTACACATTACATTAAACACACTGGTCCAAATTAAATAGCAGTTGCAGAAGAGGAACAATGAGGTAGAAACTGTAGTGTAATGGAGGGACACAGCTGATCGTTCACATCTGGCACCGAGACCTTCCAGCTCCTAGTAGTTATTTAACTGCCAGCTGCAATTTTAAAAGGGGAGGGCCAGATATAGTAGCATTACAATGTGAATATAAGAAAATAAAAGTAAAACAGAGAAGGGAGCTGGGAAGACTGAAGCTGGCCTTGTGGACCTTTTCCGTCCTATATCGCCCTGCCTGATTTTCCCACACTATTCATGTTATTACAGGGAAGGGAAGACATATACCTGACTTGTATCACATTTCAAACACTGAAATTCAGATGATCTCAGCTTTCTAGCTGAAAAGCTTAAAAAGTCTTTAAGAAGAGATCCCTAAAATAATGCTTCTAGGCTAAACCTAGAAAGGCTAAACCTATGGCATTCCATAAGTAGCTAATCTCAAAAGTTATGGAAGCGTACATGTGTCAAATTCCAAGAACATGCATCCCAAGAATTCTGCATTTCTGCCTCTTTATCTTGTTGTAATATTTTCACCACTTTACTCCACACTCCACTTTCCAGAGAGCTCCTTCTTCAAGTTGCATGACCATTACTGCAGCTAGTGTTACATACGGGCAACCATGAACGAGATCCTCACTAATCTATGGAGGCCTAAATATATTTCCCTAATATTATAGGCAATATGAATGAATTACAAAGATGTGTGTTTTGGTTTGTCCAGAATATCACTGGATTCTGCTTAGAAGATAGGTTTCTGTGCCTCATGTCTCCATCCAAGAAGCAGAAAGGTCAAAAGACTAGTGGAAGCCTTTCTTTCAGCCTGATGCCCACGGAGAAGAGACACAAAGTGGAAGAAAATGTACAAATACTAGAACAGAGATGGGTAAAATGTTTCTCCCAGATATTACTAAATTGAAACTCCTAGTGTTCCTCAACATGCTCTCTGTGGCTGAGGAGTTGCAGTCCAGTAACATATACACGGTCACATTTTGCCTATTGATGGACCACAGAGGCCAAGAGGTAGTACTGACATTTGCCACTGTGAACGCTAGATAAAAAAATCTTATGCTATAATAGTTCTGGCAGTGCTCCAGGATTCTTTGTAGTATTTGGTATAAGAGGAGTACCCCTTCAGTTTTGAAATTTAGTACACTTCTGACTCCTGCTATCCTAGCATTGTGCAAATCAATAATTTATATTTCATTAGATATTCACAAGTATGTACAGGATTGCGGTCTTCAAGGGTTTCATTGCTGATGGTTGTATCATCATGGCCAGAGTCAGCCCAAGTAGTTTGATTGTGTTATGTTTGCATAGTATTATAGCTACATATAAATGTTCCTCTCTGCTGCATATGCAGAAACATATATTGCAATAAAATTGTTTAAAACCTTTTTTTTCCTCCCAGGAATAAATCAGAATTGGATTTCAACATGTTCATGTGCTCTTGTTTCGCCATAGAAAAAATAATTTCAAATGTCTTTCTTACCATCTGACAGATTATAAGAAGCAGTGGGGAGACATAGAGAAGAAGAAAGAGGAGTTCCGGCCCTGGCTTCTAGTCAATATACAGTATACACTATCGGTTTCTGCATACTTTTTACAACTTCTCCACTATACTGTGCTGAACAGCCACTGTGTAATTTCTCTGACATCAACAAAATAAAAATGTCATGTATTTAAACTGGATATTAAACTCAGAAAGGCACATTTCAGACACGTCAGGAAACTAAGGGTGGGAGTGTGTCTAACAGCAGTCTGGCTACATTAAGTTTGTGGGGCAGAACTATTCTTCTACCTGATGAAGCACTTCATCACTCAGAAAGAATATTGGTTGCATTGCTACTTTAAAGGAATCACTCTTTAGAAAATAATTTGATCCACTCTTTGATTAAGATCTTACTCTGAATGAATGACCTGTTGTCCAGGATATCATAGCAGAAAAGAAGACAAAAAGCTCAGAAGCCATTGCATTGTACTGTATATACCACCCACAATTTCTTTTAGTATTTCTCTGCTACAGATATCTGGAAATTCCAACAGTAATAGTTACATGCCCACACTTGGGCATTCAGAAGGAAGGCCAACCAATTTAATATTTCATAAAACATTTTGCAAAAAAGATACAGTTATTTTATATTAAACTGTCAACGAACTTACACACATATTGTCAACATATCTGGAGTTAGCTCTGCAGTACAGACCTGCAGAATCCAGTATTCTTTGATGCCCTACGTAGGGCATCACAAATGTTAGACAGTGCATGCACAGCCCAGTTAGAGATGATGTCTCTTAAGAGACAGTCTCCCAGTACATCATTTAGGGGCACCTTTAAAATTTGCTTCAAGGAGCAAGAGACATGTAGACATTTCATTTAGGAAGCCTGTGGATATTTCTATGGCAGATAATCTAGGTTCAGGAAATACTTTCAGGTACATTTTGTAGTACCTACTGAAAGCAGCCAGTGTGCAGTGAGTGAGTAAGAGTGTCAGGCTATTGCTTACCAATCCTCAGGTCAAATCCCTCCCTGGACGTGGAAGCTCACTCTCTGTCCATCTCATTTACCCTGAAAACCCAAACCTCATAGGGCATCAGAAGATACTTGATGGCACATAACAAAAACAGAATAGCTAAAAAAGAGGCATTTTTCCTTATATAATCTAATTGGGATGTGTGTGTTCTTTGTAATGTTCAAAAGATTCTGCATGTTAACCAAAACATGCCTTTCTAAACAATAACAGGCAAGAAAGCTGTCATAAAGGTAAGGGTCCCTCTTTCTCTCCCTCCCTCTTTATCGCATATAGTTGAAATATTTATTCTTGCATCTCTCTACCTGACCTTTCAGGAGGTGCCTAAGATACCAGATTTCAGCCTTTAACCCCCACGACCCGATCAAAATTAGAGAAAGGAAGAATCCAGGCCAAAGGGGGCAGCAAGCATGTTTCAGGGAGGCGAGGTCTACTACTACCTTTCAGGGCCAAGAGATGCTCCTGTTTGGGCTGGGTAACATCCATCGCCCCCAGTCTCGCCACGTGGGTCCGTTCAAAGAATCAGCCAGGAACGAGTTTCTTCCAACTCGAGCTCAAAAACTCAAAACCCAGGCAATAACGAGAGCCATTTTTCCTGCGCTTCCGCAAACCATGACTGCACACCTTCTATAAACTCCAACTCCCAGAATGCTCTTCGTGCACGCGCGTTGATTTTTTCTCTGCCGGCTTCCGTAACCTTGACAGCTCCGTGAACTGAGGCAATAGACAACACCGCGAGACTCAGATTCCCTTTTTGCCTTTTTTTTTTTTTTGTAATCTTCTGAGGACTCAGAGGCCTCTGAACGCGCGCAGCATGATGATATTTGTAGTCTTTCGTGAGGCACGGCGTCGGTCTCAAAGTGCCCCGCGGTTCACCGGGAACAAAAGGGTAGCGTCAGGGAATAGGCATGCGTAGTGCGTCGAGAGTCCCGTCCAGAAAACCATAGACTGGGACTGCGACTGCGACGTCGGTGCAGTATCCCTCCATATCCCTCCCCCTCCCCCCCGGCTCTCATTGGTGAAGCCGGCTTTCACTCAAGCCTCGTCCCGTCCCCTGAGCCTGAGGGACCGCAGCGGTGGGAGGAAAGCGGTATCTTCTCGTCCTTTTTTCCTTTAAGCGTTTCCCCCATCCAAGATGGCGGCGCTAAGTGTAAACAAGGTCGGAGCTGGAGCAGGAATGGATGCCGGGAGTAGGCAGCACCGAAGCCCCGGTGGGCCTGTGGTGAAGGTGAGGAGACTCAAGTGAAGCCGGTCGGGCCTTCCCAGATCGACTTGGTGCAGTTCCCTCGAGGGTTTTGGAGGACGGAAGGGAACGAAACCTGTGGAGAAACTGGTCGTTAGGAAACGGAGAGGGCCCGCTTCGTTAAGCCGGTTTTGGTTCCTTTCCTATAGCACTCCGTCAAACAGCTTCTTTATTTAAAAATAAAATAAAAACACCATCCCTTCGTGGGTATGTTGCTGATTGTAGATGAGGAGAAAAATAGTCCTTAAGCTAGGGCTGTATGTATTTCCTTTTCTTCATCTTTTCTCTTTGCTCGACATACCGAGCATGGGATGTCCAGTGCAATGTTTATATTAACTTTTTTTATTAGATAAGTGAGCAAATTGATAGAGAGCCAGGTTGTTTGTAGGGGTTACTCCTTTTTTTCCTAGTAACGTTCAGGCACTCTTTGCAGTTGTGTACAGTAATAAAGATAAATTAAACAGGAGAAGCATCATAAGCACAATGATACCATAATCGCAAAACAGCAGACTCTTTTCTGTTTAAATTCTGCTTGTCATATAGCTACAGAAAGCATAGGAATTCTTCCAGAAAAATAATCTGGTTGTGCAGCACTAGTCTCAAGTGTGTGGATGAATAGAACATAGGAAGAGAATCCAACCTTCTTCCACATCTGAAATGTTATTCTTGTGGAAGTAAAATCTTGAAAAGCTCAGTATGAGTTTTTGAAGAGCAGTGGTTCTTTTTCTTCAAAGACTTTTTAAAGGATTATAGGTGAAAGCAAAGTAAAAAGTAAAAAAAACCAAAAATGTGGTGGCATCTTAAAGACTATGTTTTTTAATGAGAGCTTTTGTGGACAAGTCCATTTCATCAGACATAAGCTCACATTAAAAATATAAAATTCTTTAAGGTGCCACCACATTTTTGTTTTCCTTTTATTTTTACTTTGTTTTCACCTATAATGCTTGCACAGACTGACACAGCTAGCCCTTCTACAACTACTATTAAAGGATTGTTTCTCTGAAATGTCTTTTAACTTGGTTAACATTTTGTGACTAACAGGCAACTCCTGTAGCAACGTGCATGGAGATAAATCTCTTTGAACCTAGTGAGACTTGGGAAATACTGTACTCAGACCACAACAGTAAAGATACATTTTGTCTGACATGCTGTAAGATACAGGCTGCATCTTCCAGGATATGTTGACTAACTAATCTCTGCTGAATGTATAGAGTGAATGTACTGTTTTGATTAAGACTTGTTCTGTTCCTGCCCATCCCACCACAGCAGCACATAATGAGCCTCAAACTATATTAACATCTTTATTTAAAATTGAAGACATTTTCTTATAAATTACAGGTTTTGGAATGTGGAGTTTGTGAAGATGTATTTTCACTTCAAGGAGACAAAGTTCCTAGACTGCTTTTATGTGGACATACTGTCTGTCATGACTGTCTTACCCGACTTCCTCTCCATGGAAGGGCCGTTCGGTGTCCTTTTGATCGCCAGGTTACTGAGTTAGGTGAGACCATTTGGAAAAGATATAACTTGATTTGGGCTTTTGTTTGTAGATGTCATACATTGTACTTATCTGTTTGACTGGTATAATTACTGTAGGAATAGAATATTGCCAGCTAATTCAATATACTGATGCAAATTGCCACATAGTAAAATATTGAGATTGGTTTCAAAGACAGTTGCAATTCTGTCATGTGCCCCCAAAAAGGGAAAGTATGCTGCAAAGACTTTGAAAGGTTTGGGGAAGCAGAGCCTAATTTGCAAGATTAGGATTGCAACATACAGCATTTATGGCATTGGACAGATTGGATTTGTCCTCTGAACTTTTTTTGGGTTTCAGCTGTAACAATATTTGGCTTTTGGGAAGCTTTTGACATGAAAGCAAAAAATCAGGATCTGAATTATTAAACTCAGCAGGACATTGTAAGCCAGTTTACAAGAAATAAAGATTTTATGGTATATGGTAGTATTTTACTCATTTGCAATTTCTTGAACTTTGTGTATGCTAAATATGTTTTTTACTTTTCAAACATCCATGGGTATCTTAACATATTGCTTATGCATCTGTCTTAGGTAATTGTTTCATTGGTGGCAAAGGACAACGCAGAGAACACTTTGATTCAAGCAATGTTGTGCTTCCAGTATTTTCCTGTATTTATAGAATGTGGTACAATAGATAGAAAGATGACCCAGGACTCAGGAGAGCTAGGGTCAAACTCACTGACAGTGATAAACCGCACCTTAAATACCTAATGCAAAAGTTTAATCAGAGTCATCATAACTGAGAAGTGATTTGACAGGACATAATAAACAACATAATGCCATTGAAATATGTGGAATTGTAAGAACTAAGAGGTGGAAGAAGATGTATTCCTGCCCTGAAGAGTTCACTGTTCACTATCTGCTGTTCAAATTTAGATTGTGATTTTTTGGGGATAGGAACAAGAGAAAGAAAGCAAATTAGGAGGCAGAAATAACAAGGAAACAGGTATATCCAAATACTATTGTTTTGGTTGGGATGAGAACTAAAGGAGTTAAAAGGTAGATTTTGATTATCTATTTAAAAGTACAGTGAGTGAGAGATGGCATTTATAGTTGAGAACTTGAGATGTCTTGTACCGTGGTACCTTGCTAAATGACAACCCCGCTAAATGACGAATCCGCATAACGATGACTTTTTGCAATCGTTATAGCGATTCGCAAAACAGTCATTCCTAATGGGGATTTTCTCTGGACGTCGATTAGGTCCGTGCTTCACGAACCATTTGTTCGCAAACAATGATTTTTTCGGCTTCGCAAAATGGCTGCCCTGTGTTTTCCAGACCTATGCTTTGCAGGGCAGCCATTTTTACAGCTGATCGGTGCTCAGCAAAATGGCTTCCCTATGGGCGATCTTCGCTGGACAATGAGGTATTTTCCCCATTGGAACGCATTAAACCGGGTTTCTATGCATTCCAATGGGGAAAGGGTTTTCGCATGACAACGATTTTGCTAAACAGCGATTTTCACAGGATGGATTATCGTCGTCATGTGCGGCACCACTGTACCTCAGTATTCATCAGCCTTGACTCAGATGGTTAGTTGTTAGGCATAATGGAAATGTCAGTCACACAACATTTGAAAAGTGGGGAAAGGATGTTCCTCACCTCTTTCCTAGATATTCTGGGATGAACATGGGCATGGCAGTGGCATAAGAGTTCTGTTGTTTAAGGGAAGAAAACCACTTTATAAAAAGAAGAAAAGCAGCATGTTTTGTCAAGACTTGTTCAGCTTCTTCTTAAATTAGGGTGTGCTATGCTTAAAGATGACAACACTTACCAGGACTTTCAAATATGTGCTCATTAAGGCATTGGATGACTTGGCCTTTAGAAACCTTCTTTATTCCTTGTGAGGTGTCCTTACAAGAAAACTGAAGAACCAGGAAATTGTGCTGTAGATTTGGGAAGAAATTTGGAGAGTATCTGCAAAATGAGAGTCCGTGGGTACACCCTTCATTATTTCCCAAAATATCATAGAATTAGATTAGGTTTATTTTGTGATTTAGGTCTTTTAATTGGCATACCCTGTCCCTAAAGCATACAGTCTTTTGAGCTATGCATTGTATGAAACTCATTTTCTCTACCACCTTTAAAGATCATAATGGGGATGCACAGAATATTTTGTTCATGGAGCTTTTTTAAAAATTTAATGGTAATTGCTAGAAAGATATTGTTTTCCTAATGGTTGTATTGAGACAATATGTCATGGTTTATGAAACCAAGTTATATGCAAACCTTTCGTCAACACCCAAAGCCTCTTCCTTTTCCCTTTGTAGTGTACAGAAATAAATCCAGGACATTTCTAGTTAACCTTCATTTTTTGTTACTGACAGTGGAACAAGCCAGGATCTTAAGATACGGCTTAGAATTGTTTAATATTCTGGCTCAGTTCAAAATTGATAACTGAAGTTTCTCAGTTCATGCAGAACATGAAGTAACAGTTAATTACAGTATAGACATAAGATAGCTTAAGACAAAGGAGATGTGTAAGATTGACAGAGATTTCTGCATGTCTTAGCTCCAGAAGCCAAGATATGACCATCCAAAACCCATTCATTATTTCTGGAATTGTGTTGCTTTTGATATCTGGTATCAAATATCTTTGTAATGTTCTTAATAGATTTCCTTTTGTGGATCCATTCCATTGTTGCACAGTGTAAACATACTCTCATATACTGTATAGGCATATATACCTTAGAAGGTAGCAGTCTCCTGATGAACAGGCAGGAAATCTTTATGTGAGTTAATTTGTAGTAGTAGAAAAAATACTGTAAGAGGGAAGCATAGACCTGTGTAAGAGGATTCTGAGATTCCCTCACAGACTGAAAGAGACATACTGTATAAATATGCATCAACTGTAGTTTAGAAAGTGGAACCAAAAAGAACCAAGCAAGGGAAAACAGTCTTGGTAAAGCATTAATAGCAATGAATGCAAGATTCATAATGGGTATTGTTTACTCTCAGCTGGCAGCTTCTGAGAGAGTAGCTTTTTTCCTCCACACTTGTGTTGTGTTCAAGACAAGTTATTTTTCTGAAGATTTAATCTGGTTTCTTCAGCACTCTTGGTTTCCTCTGCTGAAATTAAAACATGTACTGTATTCTGACTCTGATGTATTCAGTCACTGAAGAATCAAAGAGGAACATTTATCTAATCAGTGACTAGTACGTATACAGAAATCAATGGGTTCAGTATTCAGACTAGCATAGGGTGCATAATGCTGTCTTGTTTCTGAACTCATCTGATCAGATCTGCCTGATGCGAAGCTTGATGCCTTTTGTTAAAAAGGGACTGCCAAATGTTGTACGCTTTGAAACTGAGAACATGCCATTTATTTAATGAAACAGAAAAATCTATGGAATATTATTCTTTCATGTATGGCTTATGACAGAAATAAATATTTGTATAAGGTACTTGACAATAAATATTGAATGACTACTGCATTTGCTGGACTACATTTGTGTAGGCTTGATCAGTACTGACATTTCTACTAAAATACTACGCTGGAATCTGTCCATCAAAACACCATAATTGAAAACAAAGAAAATATAGCTGTCTTAAGTATTTATTCTGACCTTTAAAATATTTTTGTGTTTAGTGGAACTTAAAGCCTTCAGAGAATAGAGTGGTTTTGTTTGTTTGTGGTTTTTGTTGTTGTTTTGCAGTTAGCATTGAGCCAGTACAAAAGGGATGGAATCAACATTCGAAGGGATGTTGAAAATAAATAAATTAGCCATTAAAAATGAATGTTAGGTTGGAACCAAGGCCCCATTAAATGTGAGTGCAAAAACAAAGCCTTGTGCAAGCTAGTAGAATACATCTCATTGTGCTATATCACAGTGTGGATGGAATAGGTTGGTGAGGCAGTTAATGGGCAAGTAAGAGCAATGTCCAACCTCTTGCCAACCTAGCAGTTCGAAAGCATGTAAAAATGCAAGTAGATAAATAGGTACCACCTCAGTGGGAAGGTAACGGCATTCTGTATCTAGTCGCACTGGCCATGTGACCACAGAAACTGTCTACGGACAAACTCTGGCTCTATGGCTTGGAGACAGGGATGAACACTGCGCCCTAGAGTCGGACACAACTGGACTAAATGTCAAGAGGAACCTTTACTAAGAGCAATGAAAGCAAACACCTTATTTAACACAAGCTGTTCCACAAGGCTCATTACAGGTGAATCTAGTACTGTCTTGTTTTTCCTTTGCTTCAGTAACAAATTTGATTTTTTTTTTTTTCTAAAACCAGGAGATTCTGGGGTCTGGGGATTGAAAAAAAACTTTGCTTTATTGGAACTTCTAGAGCGTCTGCAAAATGGGCTTGGCGGTCAGTGTGGGACAACTGAAGAAGCTATTGGCCTTTCTGGAGAGGTAGGAGTGATTAACAGTTCTTAAGTGTTTCATTTTGCTATAATATTATTATTTGCTATAATATTTGGGCTAGGGTTTATTTGTTTTTATTTACCGTATTTTTCGCACCATAAGACGCACTTTTCCCCCACAAAACAGGGGGGTGGAAAGTCTGTGCGTCTTATGGAGCGAAGAAAACATTATATTTTCCTGTTTTCTTCTCCTAAAAATTGGTGCGTCTTATGGAAAGGTGCGTCTTATGGAGCGAAAAATACGGTATATTGTTTTTCAGTCAGCTTACATAGATGTTTGACGTAATTCAAATATTTCACCATTATAGGTGTTTGCTGTAGTCGTGGATCCAAATAATTATGATTTCAAGCAGTGGTTCCCAGCCTTGGATAACTCAGATCTTCTTGGACTGCAATTCCAAGAAATCCTAACCAGCAGAGTCAGTGGTGAAGACTTCTGGGAATTGCAGTCCAAGAACACCCAGTTACCCAGGGTTAGGAAACACTGATTTGGAGCCAGGATGGCCAATCTCAGCAGGACTGAGAGCCATTTTTTCAGATTTGCTAGCTATAAAATTCAAATAGGTGGGACCAAAAAACTAATTTGTATTTTTACTTTTTAAAAAGCAAATTTTGCTTTTAAACAAATTCTCTGGTTATATAGTGAAAAGTATATCACTGTAAAGTGCATCAGAGGTCATCAGAGGAGCCTTCCTTTCAGTCCCATTGCCAGCACAGGCACAATTGATGGCGATGCTAGAGAGGGCCTTCTCTGTTGCTGCTCTCAGTTTATGGAATGCTCTCTCCTGTGGGAGATTAGGATGGCTCTCTTTCTTTTATCCTTCCACTGACAATTGAAGACCCACTTTTTCAGGCAGGCTCTTAATAATCATGACTGAACCTATGAGTCTTATTTTTTACTTAAGATGGTTTTTAATGTTTTATATGTTTTTAATTCATTCAATGTAGTTTAGTTTGTTTTATAGTCCAGTTGTTTTTAATGTATAATTTGTTGTCTTTTGATCCTGTTCTTTTTAATATTGTGAGCTGCCTTGAGTCCCCTTATCAAGAGAAAGGTGTCCTATAAATAAGAAAAATAAAATAAAATAAAGGTTGTAACAGTGGGTTTTTGCTAACTGAAAAATGGGTTTAAGGCAAAATAAAATACAGTGGTGCCTCGCAAGACAAGCGCCCCATTTAACGATGAAATCGCATTACGACTGTTTTTGCGATCACTTTAGCGATTGCAAAATGATATTTCCTATGGGGGAATTTCGGTTTGCGATGATCGGTTCCCTGCTTCGGGAACCGATTCTCGCAAAACGACTATTTTCGGCCAGCTGATCGGTGGTTTCAAAATGGCTGCCAGGTAAAAAAAATGGCTCCCCGCTCTTTTCTGGGACGGATTCCTCGCTGCACGGGCAGCGAAAATGGCCGTGCTATGGAGGATCTTCGCTGGATGGTGAGTTTCAAGCCCATAGGAATGCATTAAGCGGGTTTTAATGCGCTTCTGTGGGCTTTTTTATTTCGCATTACAACGTTTTCGATCTCTTGCTGGAACGAATTAACATCGTAATGCGAAACACCACTGTAGTTTTTTTCCCAAAAGCTGAAAAACCCCTCTTATGCCTTCTAGTGCCCCTCTAATTGACAACGTTGCAGTGACACCTTGATTGTTCAGTTAGAAGTTTGATTGGGCACAGAGCTGAGATGCCCTGGTACTTTGTCAGTTAGTTCCAGTTAGTCATGCACACCTCATGGGAACACCAATAAGATTTTCCACATTCACTGATGCTTGTGTTCAATCCCATTGTTATATATAAGCCACCAGTGAATAGGATGTGATTTTTTAAAATAAAAGTACACATATTTCTCTTTTCTGTTAGTGTATCATCCGCTGTGATGAGGACGAGACTCATCTTGCTTCCGTGTATTGCACAGTGTGTGCCACTCACCTGTGTGCAGAGTGTTCCCAGCTCACACATTCTACAAAGACTCTAGCAAAACATAGGCGTGTACCCCTTGCTGATAAACCTCATGAGAAGACAATGTGCTCTCAGCACCAAGTGCACGCCATAGAATTTGTGTGCCTGGAGGAGGGTTGTCAAGGCAGCCCCTTAATGTGTTGTGTCTGCAAAGAATATGGAAAACACCAGGGTCATAAAGTAGGTCTCTCTTTATTCTCTAGTTATGTCAGTGTTAATACATATTCACTTGCCTTTTTCTCTCTGCCAATCATAATAATTACTTTATCATATTTTGCTCCCTTTCCTGCTTGTTAGATTACTACTTTATTAATCTCACTAGTTGTATCACTCACAAGAACACTGCCTGTCTTTAAAGCTGCTCTCCTGAATCCACATGGCAAGTCTACTGACTGTGAATATATGCTTGTCTTTAATAATCTAAATGATTAAATTTTTCTTTAAATGGTTTTTGCTAGTAATCTTTGTGTACTTCTAAATTCATGTTTCACATATCTGTTGAAATAAGTTGTCCAGGTTTCTTATAATTAAGTTTTTAACAGGTAGATTTTTTATTTTTTGTGTCGTATTTCCACACAAGGCATCCAGGGTAGAATATCAAAGGGTTTACTTTTTCTACTTGTACAGATGTTTGTGAATATGGAGAGATACAAAAAGTATCAGGAAATGATGTTTACATTGATTTTGATGTTTTTCCCCTTAGCACAGTGTTTTAGAACCAGAAGCAAACCAGATCCGTGCTTCCATTTTAGACATGGCTCACTGTATAAGAACTTTCACAGAAGAAATATCAGACTACTCTCGGAAGCTAGTTGGAATTGTTCAACAGATAGAAGGTGGAGAGCAGATAATTGAAGATGGTGTTGGAATGGCTCACACTGAACATGTAAGCAATTTTAAATTTTTCTCAGCTTGCACATGTCTTTCTTGTAACTGCAGTATTCTTGTAATCCTTTTGCTTGTTTTTAAAGTAGTAGCATACAACATTATCCCGTGTTAAATAGAGTCATGAAAGCATTTTTTATACCACCTCTTGTAAATAAATCAAGTTTTAGCAATGACATAAGCTTGCAAAGACTGAATAAGGTCAGGAAATCTCTTGTTGGGTCATGGGAATTCTACAGAATTTCTGGGATGGTCATATTGCTTGCTTAAAACCTGCTAAAGAGGCATCAAGTGAACCAGATAACCCCAATTAATATATTATCTTCTAGCATTTAGCCTATGCTATAGTGATTAGGTTATGCTTTTGTTTTGATGTAATCAGCTACGTAAGTGTCTTAAATCCATTTTGAAAACCTTTTAAACTAATTTTATACCTGTTTTTTAAATTACTTTAATCTGTTGTACATTTTATTGACAGCCCTTGGGAGGTCAGAAAGGTGGTAAATAAATGTTGTTATGATGGTGATACAGTTCTATCTTCAGTGCATTGTAGTTTTCCTTATGAACTTTGTATTCAAAAGCAATTGTGCTAATAGATTGTTTGTTTTTTAGCTGAAATGGGGAGAATGTTATAAGGAGTGAAACAATATTCTAAATAGACAAAGATCATTCATTCTGTTTTTTTAATTGAATGAAGAATAGTAACACATGCTTATTAGAAGAATAAATACTAGTGGGGAAAGCCTGCCAAGTACAATTTTAAGTCAGAATTATAACTAATGCATGGGATAAGAGAAAACTATTTTAACTGCCCAGTAATAATTTAATGACCTGTCTCCTTGGTTTTACAATTACCCAGGTCCCTGGTACTGCAGAGAATGCTCGTTCATGTGTTCGAGCCTATTTTTCTGATCTTCACGAAACCCTGTGCCGTCAAGAAGAAATGGCACTTAGTGTGGTGGATGCCCATGTGAGAGAGAAATTGATCTGGCTTAGACAACAACAAGAAGACATGACCATCCTATTGTCGCAAGTTTCAACAGCTTGTCTTCACTGTGAAAAGACCTTACAGCAGGTAGAAGAGTCATAATGTCATTGAAATCCATATGGGTCTTGGACCATTTACTCTGTTACTAGCAATATTAGGCAGTTGGGAAAATGTCTCTGCTGTTATATATTGTATATATAACTTGCTTATTCCAAACCTTGATTTTACAAATTGTGGCATAGAACCCATCAGTGGATTGTAAAAGATTCTTGATGTGTTACTGATAGTACTGTCTCAAAGACAGAGATGGAATCTGTCAAAATCCTAACTATAGTATGGCAACAAATATGGAAAATCAAACAATGGCCCACAGACTGGAAATGCTCACTATACATTATAGCCCCCAAGGAAAGAGATGCCAAGGAGTACAGTAACTATAGGAACATTGCTCTGATTTCCTGTGTAAGGAAAAATTATGGTCAAGGTCTTGCAGCAAAGGCCTTTATCTTATATAAATGCCTGATGTCCAAGCTGGATTCCAAAAAGGAAGAGGGACTTGGCATCATATTGAAAATATCTGCTGGCTACTGGAGTGGACAAAAGAATTTCAGAAGAAGACCAGTCTATGCTTTAAACTACAGCAGAGCCTTTGACTGTGTGGATCACAGGAAACTATGGGTTGTGCTGAAAGAAACGGGTGTGCCTCAGCACTTGATTATTTTAATGCGTAATCCATATTGTGGACAAAAAACTATTATTAGGACGTGTTGAAACTGAGGCTGTCCTAATTTGGGCATATCATGAAAAAGCCAGATTTTCTGGAAATGATAATCATGCTGGGAAAGATTAAAGGCAGCAGGAAAAGAGGAAGATTAAATATGAGATGAACTGATTTCCTGAAGGAAGCCACAGGCTTGAGTTTACAAGAGCTGAGCAGGACAGGACACTTTGGAGATTGCTCATTGATAGGCTTGTCATAAGTCAGAAGTGACTTGATGGGACTTAACAAAAACAACAGTTCCATAAGGCAGATAAAAAGCTTCTGTAAATGGCATATATTCTTGCATTTCTTTGCTGAATTCATCTTAGTTATAGCACAGTTTTAAATCTGCTTCAGATAAAGCACTATTTTGTAAATGTAAGTTCTTGTTTTGTGGGATGTTGGTAGGGAATACATGTAAGTGATGCTGTGTGATTGCATTAATTTTAGCTTTCTTTTTTAGGATGACTGCAGAGTTGTGTTGGCCAAGCAAGAAATTACAAGGCTTCTAGAAACACTTCAAAAGCAGCAGCAACAATTTACAGAGCTTGCAGACCACATACAACTTGATGCTAGCATTCCAGTTACTTTTACAAAGGTACAGTTCTTGAACTCTCAAGATTCTGAGTGTGAAGATCTTTGTACAGTTTTTGTCTTCCCTGCCGTCCTACACACATACAATATATGTGAAGCTCAGATTTGTGTAGCTTCAAAAGCCATGTGATAAATGGAACTAGTTGGGGTGAGATGAAAGCTCTATTCCTTGTCTAATGAGATTCAGTGGTTCTTGATCTAATAGTGAAAAGTGGAAGATGAAACAGTATATAGTGGTGCCCCACTTGACGATGACCCCGCTTGATGACAAAATCGCTTTACAGTGACCCTATGGAGGATCTTTGCTGGACGATCAGGTATTTCCCCCATTGAAATGCATTGACCGGTTTTCAGTGCATTCCAGTGTATTCTAATTTTTCGTCATGCGGGGGGAAAAAACCCCATTGGAATGCATTGACCAGTTTTCAATGCATTCCAGTGGGTTTTTTTGCTTGACGACTATTTCGCTTAACAGCGATTTTAACGGAATGCATTATCATCGTCAAGCGGGGCACCACTGTATATGCCAGTATAACACTATGTTATTTTAGTGAGTATATCATCTCTAAAGAGAGAAACTTCACAATTTATGTGCCTGGAAGAATTTCTTCATTCCAATGTTCCTTCTAAAATAGGGTTAGGCTTTAAAGCAGGGAGTCTCCAAACTATGACCAATGGGCCACATCTGGCCTGCCTTGCCGTTTTGTCTGGCCTGTTCCCTTCAGCCCGTGCACGCAGGGGTGGGTGGACAATTGCGGGTATGCGCGCACACACATTCCTGATCCTTTGGCCCTCAAAAACCTTGAAAATATCCAGTGTGGCCCTCATGGTCAAAGGTTTGGAGACCCCTGCTCTAAAGGTTCCTCGTTTAGTCTACTAGAGCCCTTTCCAAGTGAAATTCCCTACACATCACTCTCCCAATTGAAATGATGAGAGATACCTAGGAAGATCCCACTCCTATATCCAATCCCTGTTAACAGGTGGGATTTCCTCTGCCACATGTTGCAAGCTGTGAATTCCCTTGGACTTTTCAGCATCATTAAATACCATAGGCTGCAGTATTTTGCCAGAATAACTCTGGGTTGTAGTGGTTCTGCTCTTGTGGCACACTGTATGCTGATGACATTCAACTGTGCCTCTCCATTCTGCCTGAATCAAAAGAGGTGAGATAGATGCTTGAAGACGGGGATGGTTATGCAGAGGCCAGCCATCAAGATGAATCTTGCTAAGGTGACAGTCCTGTGGGTTGGTATTCTCTGATCCAGGAACTAGGGTGAAGGCCTGCTGCAGTTCTCTGAAGGCCTGGTTACTACAGGACATTCACACAAAAATGTTAATAGAGGTGCAGGTGGCCTCAGTGGCAAATAGTTCTTATGCTTAGCTGTTCTTGTTTGTGGACTTGGGGGAGCATGGCCTCAGTTGTCTAATAATCTTATAATCTGATTCTACAATTTGCTCTGTGTGATATTCCAGAAGCTGCACTTGGTACAGAATATTACTAAAGTGGAGTAGCTGTGTGGGATCACACGGTACTACTGATCTTCAGGCTGTTGCACTGGCCGGTTGTTAATTTGAGAGGTACCTGGGACTTAGGATACAAGAATTTAAAAGAATGATCTCTCCTGGTACTAGCACGCCCATGCTTTAAGATAAGCCATGGAGGACCTGCATATGGTCCTGCCAATGGTTATTGCTTGTAGTTAGTTACTTTAAGTAGGACTATACTCATGCTGGTATATCTGTTACAGAATTTCCTTCCTGATTTATGAAGTTGATCTTCATATTATTATGTTTTTGGTAACAACTGAAAATGCACCTATTTGCCTTGCCTTGTCCTGAGATCTTTGTTTCAAGTTTGTATGTGTTGTGTTTGCTCTATGCTGCTGTGGGAAATATATGAATAAAATATAATAAGGCCCTTGTATGGTGTTCCTTAATTGCTTGGATGACACTTGGAATTCACATGGTGCTTATTCACACACTCACCTTGTGAAAACAGACAATCCATTTTTTAAAAAATAAGTCTTCAGTGTCATGAATGAGATTCAAAACATAGATACCCACAAGCATTGCTGCACACAAATTAGGAACTGTCCAACTTTCTTTCATTGTGATGTTTATCTTGGCTGTTCATTAAAAGTAAAATAATATTCTAAGTGAGAAACTTCGGTAACACTTTGCATTCTAGTTTCCTTGGGTACAATTTATGTTGTTATGTGCTGTCAGGTTGGAACCAACTTACAGCAAACCTGATAGGGCTTTCATGGTAAGTGAGACATTTAAGGAGTAGTTTTAGCACTTCTACACCCCCAGTGAGTTTCCACAGCTGAGCAGGGATTCAACCCAGGCCTCTTGCATCCTTGCCCTATTCTGTCCACTACAGCACGCTGGGTCCCTTTTTAGTACAATACTTGGAGCTAAATAATGTTTTGCAGGTCATGTGGGGAACTTTAAGGTCTGCTCTCTTATAAACCCTCCTTTTTTTCTGCAGGACAACAGAGTACACATTGGACCAAAAATGGAGATTCGAGTAGTAACACTTGGATTGGATGGAGCAGGCAAAACTACTATTTTATTTAAATTAAAGCAAGATGAATTCATGCAACCTATTCCAACGATAGGCAAGTAACATTAATTTTGGAAGCACTGAACTTTGGATGTAAGCATTTTGTTGTAAAAGTATAATGAAGTGCCTTTTTTCCTCTTAGGTTTTAATGTTGAAACTGTTGAATATAAAAACCTGAAATTCACAATTTGGGATGTAGGTGGTAAACATAAGCTGAGGCCTTTATGGAAACATTATTACCTCAATACACAAGGTAAGAGAGCTCTATTTTTCAGATAGTGGAGTTTGTAGAACACTATGGCCAGTGTTCTGTTCGGTGTAAGAATAATCATGTGTTTCTGTGCTCCAGCAGACTCCCTGTTGTGTGCCTATTCACACACCTAATCCATCAAGCATTGAGGGACTGGCATGCAAAGAGGAGCTTGCTGGCATAGCAACAATGTCTATGGAATTGTGTCATGCAACAGGATACTGATCAATGTACATTTAATAATTAGACTGATAAAAATTTAATAATCAGATTGTCTGTGGTTTTTAAAAAATAACTTTTTCTTTGTTTATGGTTGCATTAATTTGAAAGTACGTTCCATGGAAACCCATGGATATTGCATTTCATGACAAAGGGAGACGAGTAATTCCTTCCCTTTTCACTGCTACCTGTGGAATTGTTTAGTTGACCATGGCCGAGACTGTGTTGCTTATCATAGTAACGCTAAAATAGGTCTATTGAATCAATGGGATTTGGTGAGTCAACCACTAAGTTTCTTTAATTCATATAGGCCTACTCTGGTTGCAGCCTATTTTGGCATAGTAAGTGGCAACTAGCTGGCCCATTTGAACCATTGCAACTTATGGAGAAGTTAATTCATCAAACCTTCATTGATTTGGTGGACTACTGTGATAAGCAAAAGATTTCAGCCCATCTCTGTTCTGCACAATTTGAATCCATTTTATAAAATTCTGAAACCACATGCGGTTTACTTAATTTTGGGTGTAAATTCTTATTCTTTTGCTGGTGGATTGTATTCATGAAGAAAATGATTGAATTATCAGTTTTTAATAAGTAAGCAGATTCTGGTGACATTTGAACAGACCTGAGAATGTTTAACTCCAGTTAAAATTTTAATCTGTAGAATGTAGGATTGACATCATTTATCTGCTCTCCATTTTACAGTATCTGAATATGGAATGAAAAAAAAAAGTTAACACAATGCAACTGCATAATTATTCTCTTTCTGTAGCGGTGGTGTTTGTTATTGATAGCAGCCACAGAGACAGGGTCAGTGAGGCACACAGTGAACTTGCCAAACTGTTAACAGAGAAGGAGTTGCGAGATGCCTTGTTGCTGATCTTTGCCAATAAGCAGGTATTTTAATTCCTTCTCTCCTCTTCTCCCTCACCACATTTCACTTTATTTTGCTAGTACTGTATGAAATAGGAGTGAGTAAACAAAATGTCAAAACAGATTCATTCTATTTGTTTTTCAGTAAAGAGAAGACTATACATTCTTTAGTCCGGAATAGAGATGGGCATGAACTGCCAGTTTGTGCTGCTTTGCCCTTTGGGCAAATAGTTGTTTACTGGTTCCCAGCCTCACTTCCTCCAGCAGGCACCCACTCAGAGGGAGGGGGCCAGCTTCCCTGCCCTGCCTCTAGCTGCTCTGAGTGAGCACCCACTGGAGGAGATGGGTCTGGGAAGTGCCAGATACCTGTTAGTCCAAAGGATGAAGTGGCATGAACTGCTGTACCTGTGGTTCATGCCCATCTTTAGTCCTGACCATTTTGTCTGCTGAATGTCACTGAAATTTGGAGGGTGGGGCAGCCTTATGCACCAGGTTGATGTGACAGAATGCCACATGCAAGGCAGCTGGTTTTATGATTCCTAAGTTCAATGAGTGTCCCCTTAGGCCAGTCCTGGGCAGCAGATCAAATACAGTGGAGCCTCGCATTACGATGTTAATTCGTTCCAGCGAAATCGCTGTAGAATGAAAACATCGTAAAGCGATTTTAAAAAGCCCATAGAAATGCATTAAAACCCGATTAATGCGTTTCTGTGGGCTTGAAACTCACCGTCCAGCGAAGATCCTCCATAGCGCAGCCATTTTCGCTGCCCATGCAGCAAGGAATCCATCCCAGAAAACAGCGGGCGGCCATTTTTTTACCCAGTGGCCATTTTTAAACCGCCGAGCAGCTGTGTGAAAATCTTCGTTTTGCGATAATCAGTTAGCGAAGCAGGTAACCGATCATCGCAAAGCGAAAAAACCCCATAGGAAACATTGCTTTGTGATCGCTTTTGCGATCGCAAAAACTTCTTCGTTATGCGATTTCTTCATTAAACGAAGTGCTCGTCTTGCGAGGCACCACTGTAGTGAGGGAGGACTAGAATTGGAATGCAGTAACATCAAGGTGGACTTCTAGTTGTCCATCTGTAGTGCTACGTTATCATTAAGCTATGTTGCAGAATGCTGTGAACTCACTGTTAGATTATATTTGACATTCTGGGAAGAATTTGACCTCTAAAAGAACTTGATGCTGGAGATTTGCCTTCCCTAGAGCAGTTCACCTGTATTCCTAATCCTTTTAATTTCCTCTGCTGGGTTTGCTTTTTACACGTCTCCTCTTAATTATTATTATTTATTATTTTTTAAAAAAATTATCCTACCTTTCTCCTTAAAAAGGACTCAAGGCGACTTATATCATTGAAAGACAGTATTTAAAGTTGAAAACCCAACCCAGTCCAAGCAGTAAATCTAAAATTCACACACAAGTAGCCAATAACCTAACACTCTTTTGAAGCATACCAGGTTCTGACTTTGTTTCCATGGTCATGTGTGTTTGAATGCAATTGTGTGAACAGCTCACATTGTTAGTAGCTGTCACTTTCCACCAGCAACTGAACATGCATGAGATGGAAGCCAGTTGTCAGAAATCCTGCTGTTGTAAGTTGTATTGCATAAATTGGGGGTTGCTTGCCCTTAGTTTACTAATCTTGCCCCCAAAGCCTAGCCACTTCTGCCTTTAGGCACAAGCTGTTCCAAATATATCATATTCTTAAATAACAATACTTGTAATTTGGTTTGTCTACACATTGATTAAGTATGTGATTGCCCTTTCTAGGATGTGGCTGGAGCACTTTCAGTAGAAGAAGTCACAGAATTGTTGAGTCTCCACAAATTGTGCTGTGGTCGTAGCTGGTACATTCAAGGTTGTGATGCCCGAAGTGGCATGGGACTGTATGAAGGACTGGACTGGCTCTCAAGACATCTGGTGGCTGCAGGTGTACTGGATGTAGCATAAGATCTTATCAAGGAGCCATTAAACTTGAAAATCTATTTATTTGTGTAATTCAAGATGGTCAAAGATGAATTTTCCATCTAATTACTTTCTGCACATTTTCCCCCTAAAGAAAACAACTAAAAGTTTTGCCGAAATGATTATTGGAGTGTGGTACAGTGAGTGTGTAATTCTTATACATTGTGGTAATTGAGTAGAGTGGTGCTGTGGTGAAAGGTGCCTTGATTTTTTTAAAAAAGAAAGTGTTTTCAACTTCCTTATTAAACAAACTAATATTTTGTTATAGCAGTACTTTCAGGACCTGGCTTTTATTTGAGCTCACTCCATTGAAAGTTGACACTACTACATTAGTCTTGGATTGGATCCAGGCTTAGGTGCCTGCACATACATTAAAGGAAATAGACTTCCTTCATTCCTGTGGTAGCTTCTCCAGCCCCTCAAAAAAAAACTATACAGGTCTGGATAATGCAGTGGGACAGGAGGGGGAAATCTCTGAAAATTGGCTGGAAAAACTTCTGTATGCAGATCCCTTATTGCCCATAGAAGTCCTATTCTGGATCCAATTCTTTGTTTTTCAGTTTTGAAGTGAAGACATATGCAACTCTTTTTTCACATTACCAGTATTAATCAGAATATATTCAAGTGTAGTATGGACTCAGCTGTTTAACTCTTTGGTCTAGTTAGCAGCTTTTAAAAATGAAAGCAAAACCTAAAGCCTGTGTTTATCAGATCATCCACTGATCATTACTGCTTTCTTCAGAGACTTGTTCGCTCTTGTGCCTTCGCAATTATAATTTTTTTAAGTGAAACAGATTTGAAATTCTTAACCCACATGTCCCCATCTGTGCTCCTGTTCAGAATTGGAAAAAAGTTGCCTTGTTTAGAGGTTTATACATTCCTTTTCAACATTATTTTTCAATTACGTAGCATTTCTAAATACTATTGCATTTTAAATTTTTGTTGGCAACAAAATGTAACAATTCCTTATATAGTGTAACATCAGGAAGTTGACATTTAGCAAAATGTATCTTCTGGAGGAAGTAGGCAGAAGGTATGATGAATTATTTGTTTTGGCTGATTTACATTATTTGAGACTCTGTGGCACTTTGTCAGTTGAAGTACCTGCCCCCAAACCTAGTGGGCCTTCTGTTAGTATAATACCATAATTTGTTGAATTTGTACTTGCTTTAAATCATTATTTTTTTTCTTGTCTATTTTCAGTTGTATTCACTGAGGATTAATAACAAAAAACTTTGCAGTGTTTAACCCATGATTCCCAATTTCCACATAAGTTTTGTTTAGTGCAGTGGTCAGATCTTGGGAAATCTTGGAGGTGCAGTTGAGAGGAAAGCAAAGGAATGGGAGAAAGAAGTTCCATGATTATAGTTGGAAAGGAGAAACTTGTTTTATGTTGAAGAGATTAGGTATGTGATAGTAGGAGACTTAATAAGCAGTAGAGTTAGGGAGAAAATATTAGCACAGGAAGCAAAGTGTATTGGCAAAGAAAGCAGGTGGCATTTGGAAGGGGAAATGGCAGAAACTGATTCTGAATGTTAGGATTGCACAGGTTGGTACTTACCTTAGTTTATCACATTGATCTTTTCCCCCTTATTGGTTTGAACATGAGTTTTGGACCCCAGGCTGCTCCTCTCCTGGTTACCTTATCTCCTCCATTTCCACCAGAAATTCTGTTTCAAATCTGGAATGCTGTTTACCACTGTTTTCCTGATTAATTTCTCTAGTGCTCCAAATATTACTATATTTTCACCAAATACTGAAATTACATAAACAAATTATTGAAACCAAAGGTCCCTCCAAAGATATCCTGTAGTCCACTCCTTTTGTTTCTTCATTCTCCTCATAGGGCATTCATAGAAGGGGAAAACATTGCCTTACATAAGAACCAGCCATAAAATAGATGTCTGAGCTTCTCCTTCATGATACATCAAAGGACAGTGAATTGATGTTAGGTTTCCAGTAGTCTGAATGGACAGCCAAGAGAGAATAAACTCCCCTGATATTCCTAAACATAACCTAGGTGAAGTCTTTGATCACTGACATGCCTTGCTGTCAACCTCTTATTCAATGGCACATGATGACATATTCATATCTCCAGAAAAGATAATCCTGATTATTTTCAGTATTAGCTGATGGGAAATATAAAATTTTGGAAGTTGAATATCCTTTCTTGCACCTCCTGCACCTCTTTATATGTAGACACTGAAGCACAATTTCCTGTCACACTGGCTATTTCTGTTCCTCATTGCATAGTTTGAGCTTTGTCTTCAATTTGTGGCTCTTTCGTTTTGGCTATGATTGTATAGCCAATAGTTTGCATATTTTTCCCTGTGAACTACTTTGTTAATAAGGAAAGCTCTGTATCAGGATCTATAGCGATTTACCTTAACTTTGTTCTCTTTAGTATATGGTTAGCTAAGTACCTCTGACTTTTGCATTTTGAGGACACTCCCCAATATTTTATAGCACAAAAAAGAAGTATCTGTGGTTGTGCTGCATCCCAGAACCTAGATCCCGATTCCAGCGAGTGATCACTATTTCTGCATTCTAAAGCTATAGTTGTGGATGGAGGGGTTCAGGCAGGCAAACCTAGGGATGACAACTGTGTAGAGAAGACCCATTCTGTATCCTAGCAGTGTAATATTCTAAGTGCTGAATAAACAGTTTACTATTTAATGATTGTAGAGAATACAAAGATATTAAGGCACTAATTTGTTATTCTCCAAGAAATACTACAGCTCTTCAGAACACCTTAACAACAGTTCATTGGTACAAAAATAGATAACTTTATAGCTGTACATGCAAGTCTTGTCCCTAATAAATGGGAGATCTATTTGTGTCCCTGTATAGGATGTGTGAGGAAAAGGGCATATGTTGGGGCTTACTGGCCCACAGACTGGAACACCCTCAGTTGATGTCATTAATACTGCTTGATCATCTGGGAACCCAGCCTCATGGCATGAATCAAGGAAAGTTCTCTTTCTAGGGCATATGAGGAACTCAACTTGCGGCCTCACATGACCGCCACACTTCCAGATTGTAGCAGGTGGCCACAGCATCAATTCATGCTGTAATGAACTTGTGATCCTTGCTGTTCTCCATGTTATTTAATGAATGGGCTGGAGCAGAGAATTGGCCCACAGTCAGGATGTCTGGTTACTGGATTCTGGTCATATGCAGCAGTAAACTTTGTATGGTGATATATAACCTGTTCTGCATTACTGCCCTTTTGTTTCCACCAATTTGTGCCACTAATGCAAAGCCCATTCAAAATGTTACTGCTGAACATTTTGCTTTTTGCTGCAGTAAATATGTTGATTTTTGTAATCAGGCTTACATGTTGAGATACACAGTGCAGCCTAGGTATCTTAATAGGAAATAAATTATATAGTATTAATGTGGCTCACTGCCAAGCCACTGTGCATAGGTTTAACTATACTTCCAGTTTAGGTAATGATGTTCCATGTAAGTTTGTTTAAAATATTTTAGAATACAATTCTGTATTCTCATCTGAAACAGCATAGGTGAATGATATCTCACGTTGAATAACACAGATCCCTAAGTGATTTTACATCTTCAGAAATATTGGAACAAATAGGCCTGTTTATATGCATTCTGAATTTAGATGTAGCATAAATGACAGATTCCAAGGTTAAAAGGAAGCATACGATTTTGCTAACTTATTAAGACACAGTTCCTGGTTTGGGGATATTATAGATGAAGAAGTTACTTATGCATTCTACAACCACTCTCACTTTTAATTGAAATGTTCTTTATTGAATCTTCCTGCTTTGTTATACAATGATTGGCTAGAATTGTCTAAACAAAACTACAAGTGATTTATCTCCAAGCAATTATTTTCTACTTTAACTAATGCATGATTAGGCAGTTCTTTTCGATGGAAGGTCTGTGTGTATTTGAATTAGTTTGGAGGCTTTCTGTTACATTTCAGTAAGTCATATTTTCATTTCTGCACTTTTATTTAACACTATTGAAATGCATGACACAGCTTAATATGGAGCAGTTGGAAAGTTAAATGTGAATTGTTCTTTGGCAACTTTGACTGCTGTAATTGTACTGTTTTGGGCCCTTTACTCCTTGTAAAATCCAAAATGTTGATTTCAGGGCACTGTGGAGAACTACTTGTTTTTGAAAAAGCTCTTAGTTCCTTAACACTAACAGAATTCAGGCTCTGCTACAAATGTAGTTTGCTTGCATAAGTATTATTTTAACTGAAATCCACTCAAGTGACTGTGAAAATAGGTACTGCAGTTATTTGAATTCAAGTATTAACCGGATTCACTTAGCAATCCATTTGTACTGTACATAACTACTTCAATTATAAATTTGTTTCATATGTTGTTGAGCTTTAATTCAATTTAGTGTACTGATGTGTGCCAGTTTTAGTGTTTCAATTCTTAATTTTTATTAAAAAGTATAACTTGTCTTAAGAGCAGACAGTATTTGAGTAAGCACTCATTTGTAAAAAAAAATGGATCATAGTCAAGTTTTAACTGAAATGAAAGTGCAACATTCAACGACTTTAAAGAAAAGTATAGTAACTTCTTGCTTCAAAGGTAACAGTGCATAGAGCTTAATGTCTTGATATAATCTGGCTTTTAACTGTATGTATTCAGTTAATTTCCACTTCTAGATTGGGAATGAAAAGGTGGAGAGGGGTATTGCATCATAGTGTCTGTGCTCTGGAGCAACACTAGGTGTAAAACAGCTTACAAAAACAGCATGTGATGTAACAATTGTAATATTGTGGCTTCAGAATTGTTTTGGAGCCCTAACAGTAAAACTTCTTTAACCAAGACTGTGTGTCTCCTTTCTGGTGGAACTAATGAAGTACAGGGGAAGTACTCCTAGTGCTTTTATTAAAACAGAAGTCTAAAATTCAATATTTAGTTATGCAAAAGAAATTTAAAAGCAGGAATTCTAAAATATTGTTATGCATAAATGTATGGCATAAGGTAGAATAGAACACATTTTAACAAGCATGTTATAACTGCCTTCACAGTATTGATAAAAACAATACTTTCTTTGAAATATTTGCTACTGTTTGTGTGCTGAAGAAAGTTTTAACATTACCTGCTTGCATTGTCTGAATGGCCTATATCAGAATTTGTGCTCTAGAGTTCTTGCTACTGTATTAATACCATACTATTTTTTCCTTCCTTTTTAAGAAAATATAAAAGCTTTTTCCACCACAATTGCTGACTCTAAACCTTCAGATATAAGCACCCGTTATCTGATTCAATCTACATGACAACATTCCGACTAACAAACATTTTATAATCAGTTCTCTTAGTAAGAGTAGCATTCATCTACATTGAACAAACACCTTCAGTCTATGAAACAGAACTTGAGAACTCTGTAGAATTCTCCAGTACAGTACTTGTGTTTTTGCAGGCATTTAAAGGCAGATTCAAGTATGGCCATCTCAACCAGATGAAGACAAATAATTGTTGCAAGGAGCCTTGGGTGAGGTGACTGAGCACTATTTGGGAACAAGTTGGAATAAGGAACGTGGATCGTGATGCTAACAGCCTCCCATTTTGTTTTATAAAGAAACTAGTGTTCTAGATGCTCTTGCGTTTGCTATAGTATAACAGTGGCTGAAGCCAAAGTGAAAGAAGACACTGATACATTCTAATGTTGTGAAGAAATGCAGTGTCACTGCAATGACACTGGGGAAGAACAAAATACACTTTTGCTGATCTAAGAAAATTGGTTTGTTTATTTTTTTATAAAAACATTAAAAATATAGTGAAGAGCACTCTGCCACACAGTTCATAGAAAGGCTGCCAAGACTTTCTACAGCAGAAATTTGACAGTGCCATACTCACTGTATTCAAAGTTCCTCTACCATGATGCTTCTTAGAAATTCCTGTATTACTTTACTGTGATATTAATAATACTGACGTCTTCATAAGGTTTGTCAGTTTTTGGATTGACTTTCACATTTGAAATTCTCTGAACGACTTCCATTCCTTTAGTTACTCTTCCAAACACGCTGTGCTTGTTGTCCAGCCACGGCTGTATAGTCATGTTACATTGAAACCAAAAGAAAGGGTGGGGGAAGCATTAAAATCCTAAGTTACAGTACTGACAAAATAGTAATGTAATGTGCCATAGATCAGTGGTCCCCAACCTCGGGCCTCCAGATGTTCTTGGACTAACAACTCCCAGAAGCCTTCACCACCACCTCTGCTGGCCAGGATTTCTGGGAGTAGAAGTCCAAGATCATCTGGAGGCCCAAGGTTGGGGACCACTGCTATAGATGAACACTATACTAAATGTTTCACATTATCTTCAATATGCCCAAGGCAGGGGTCACTTCAAGGTCATTCATGCCCCTGCAGCACCAATCATTTTGCCAAATTCGAGCCCCAACCAACTGATTTAGGCTGAGTGTCATCCTTTTAAAAAGCTTGCAAGAGCAATTCTGTGAAGGGTGGACATACGTGGAAGTTACTCACCTCTAGTCCAATTTTTTAATATATAAACACACAAAAACACAATTTCCAAACTGAAAGGAGAACCATAACAAAATCAAAACTATTAATTTTTGTTGGCTGTGAAGTTATTAAAAGCATTATTACTAAGTTTCCACCTTCTCCTTATAGAGAGATTGAATCTATTTCTCTTAAAGATCTGCACCCAAATTTTCAAGGTAATAGTTCTCTATACAATATAACTGGTAAACAGAGCAGCTGACACACTGTTAGATAAAAGTGAGCAAAAAGAAATGGAAGTTAGCAAAAAAAAAAAAAAAGTGACAGAATTAGGGGCTTTTAGCCCCAAAATGTCTGTAGCAGCATATTGCTCTTTCCGCAAGCATAGCAGCATGGATGAATAGAGGTATTTTAAGACTAAAGCCATTTTTCCCATTTAAAAAAATCAGTGACAATATTACAGGATCACAGACTTAGAGCTAGAAGGTACCCCAAGACTTCTTAAAGGACAACCCCCTGCTGTTGCAAATGTATCGCCGAAGTGCCCCTTGCAGGTGGTTTACCACTTTCCAAGGCATCTACTCTACTGTCAAGTAGTTCTTATTGCCAGGAATTTCTGCTCAATACTTTAAAAAAAAAAAAGGAAATTTCAGTTTAAAAAAAGAAGGAATAAGAAACAAGCTTTCTGCATCTGCTCTGACAACCTTTCTAATATTTAAAGATGGCTATCCAATCTGTCAGGCATCTCTTCTCCAAGGTAAACATCCTCTGTTCCCTTACCCATTCCTCACAAAGCCTGGTTTTCACACTATTTACAGTCTTTATGAACACAGCACCTTTTTCCCCAACTGAAGGATGCAAGGCAGCTTACAAATAATCCTGGTTGCCTTATCCTTCTTGGTTGTTTTATCCTTCTTAAACTGTGATATCTAGAACATGACAAAGTATTCCACATACGCTCTGACCAAAAGAGACTGAACCTATGCTGCTACTTATTTTATTATGTGTATTATAATTCTGTTGGTGCTTTCTAGAACTGCATTAGTGTGTGTGTGTTCTAACCACATTGCACTGTTGACTCATTTTTAGCTTGTACTAAAGCGTGTAGAACTTTTTCACTCATTCTACTGCCAAGCCAGGTGTCATCCAGTTTGTATTTATACATTTGATTTTTTCCCCACCTAAATGTAGAGCTTTACATTTTCCCTGCTGAATCTCATTTCATTTTCCTGGTCCAGTTCTTTAATCTCTTCAGTCCCTAAATTCTGTCTTCTGAAATATTATGTACCCATCCCAGTTTGAGATCATCTGCAATTTGATCATCATTTCCTCAAGTATTCAATCCAAGTAATTTATATACAACAGCAGCCCCAGAACAGGAAGGCAGACTGCGTGTGTGTATATTTCTCTGCTATGAGTACAGAAAGAGAAAGGAACTGTTACAAGAACAGACGTAGTCTTTTGAAATAGATTTGATGGTAAATCTTCTTGTAACTTGGACTTTTGACTGGAGGTGTGGATGCATAATTAAATTATTCCCAACATCTATTTTTCTACATGCAGGTGTCTGTGGAAGAACATAGGGGGCTGTTCATAGAAAGCATATTTTAAGCTGATACACATTACTTACAGTTGGTACTACTGTTATGAAGAACTGTGAGCCATTGGTGTTTGGTCCTGCATTAGCCATGCTGAGTGTGTAAGGCCTGTCATGTCGTAAAGTTGAGTGGAACTCATCTTCAAATTCCCCGCCCCAAATGCTTTCACCTCCCATTCCAGTGCCAGTAGGATCACCAGTCTGAATCATGAAGCCCTACATCAGAAATAAATGATATTTCCAACATTTACTTGACCTATTAGAGTACATCTTAGCCAATCTATCGGAAGGTAAATGCCATCTATATTCTAACAGCTGCGAGGATTATTTATGCACAGTACTGGAAAAATGAAGGAACACCTACGGATCAAGAAATAATTAAAGAGATATTGGACTGTGCCGAAATGGACAGACTAACACTGAAAATCAAAGGAAAAGAAGATACAAAATATTATCAAACATGGGACTTATTCTATCAATCGGTAGAAGGATGTTGTATAGATTAGGAGCGTAATGTGTGTAGTAATTGTTTTACAAATGATTATAAGCTATACCCTGGGGACACGATGTTAAATAAGTATGGATGGATTTATATAAAAATTTTAAAAATAATATAGAAATAAATATGTTACCTCCATACTGTGCACGTACAAAGCCCCCCCTGCTGGCCTGGATCAAAGGCCAATTTAGTCTAAAAAACTGCCTATCATAGTGACTAACGGATTGCCTCCAGGAAGCCAGCAAGCAAGGTCTGAAAGCAAGAGCCCTATACTTTTACTAGAAGCAGTCAACTCATAGTGTGCTGTAATTGCATGAAGTATTTTCTATTGTTCTGAATCCAGCACCAAGTTCAGGTACTAAAGAACAGAAGGAAGCTTCTATCTCCACACTATTTATAATTCTATAAATCTCTACTGTATTGCTTTTTCAAGGTTGTTCTTCTAAAGTAAGACACTACAAATGCTTTAGCCTCTCCTTCTGGGGAAAACACTTTAGCCTCCTGAGAGCTTTGGTTGTGAGGCCAGCTGCCGTGCTGGGGAGTAATCCTCAGAAGCTAAATGGCAGCACTGGGGGAAGATTTGATTTCACCATGTCTACTTCCCATCCACCAAAGGGATAGTGCAATGGACACAACACATCAATAATTTTAGAAGACAGAAATGTCTTTGTTGGCGGCAGCTGTTGCATCCCAGTGGCTGTTGTGCTGAAGCCATTATGAGAATATTCTACACAAATGCCTTGATTATCTTCTCAAGTATTATGTATGAAGGCATTTTGAGGCAGGCAACTGAAAGATGCAGCAAACCCATTTAAGTCAACAAAATCTCAAATGTCACTGGTCAAGATCTAATGGTGTACCTCGATATCTAACACTGTACAATCAGGACTTTCTTTCCGTCCCCTCTACCAGCTGTCTGTTGCACCAAAAAAGCTGCCCCAGAAGGCTTCTCAGTCCTCTGAAGTTGTTTCTTTGGGGTGGTTAATGGTTACCCATGCTGGGGTAAAGAACAGGATCAAGTGAAAGTACACCACTGGATCCTGGGCACTGACCCACAAACAGGAAAATAATGTGTTGCAAATACCATGCCATTCTTAAGTCATCTATTACCTTGATAATGCGGTGAAAGGTGTGGCCATTGTAGTAACCATTCCTGCTGTGTACACAGAAGTTTTCCACAGTTTTGGGACACCTGCAATCAGAGGTTATCAAGGTTAGTGTAATCTTAATATAGTGCACTATATTAAGTAAAAGTTCTGAATTAGACTTAAAAACTTAAGGAGAACTTCACTGAATCAAACCCAAGATCCATACAGTCCAATAGCGGACTTTTACAGTGGCCAACAAGATGCCTGTGGAAGCCCTTAAGCATGACATGAGCACAACAACATCTTCCAGTTCTTTTCCTCTGCAACTAATGCCCAAAGGCATAAGTGAGAGAGCATGAGAGTAGTTTTACTGCACTCAGACTACCACTGATTCTGAAGACCAGCAACACTGCATAGAGCTACCAGGATTAGAGACTACAGATCTCACTTTCCTCCTACCATTTTTTAAATCCTGTTTTAAAAGCATTTAAGTTAGAATCCATCACTACATCTTGTAATACTGAATTCTGTACATTAGAGATGTACAAGAGTTGTGGCTTTGATATTGTGCAGCAAAGCCAATCAACTTTCTATAAAATAATTATAAAAATGGGGCCAGTGCACACAAAATTGTAAATTCAAACTAGGCTTCAGATTGACACCAAACTTACTCTCAGTTTCCAATTGGAAGATGTAAACAGCAACCACCGACTCACTCTCTCCCTCAGTTATTATCCTTTTGCTCAGGGACCAGAAGCAGCTCCGTCCCCCAGGTGCTTGCTCTATTAAGTTGCCTTTTGCTTGATTTCTTATCTGCTTTTTTATCTCTCTCTCCTCTCCCTCGCTTCTGTGTCATCTCTTTCCACCTTGTGCAGCTTTGCAATCTATAGTTTTCAGAGGAAAGGTGGCTAGAGTTCTTATTGTAAATTCTTAAGAATATTTCCCCTTGTCTTTGTTATGTCTCCCGCTCTCTTTCTTTTGTCTGCTGAGTTTTACAGGACTCCTTTTCAAATGAGAAACTGGCTCCCTGTCTGGGGGAATCTGAACTTTTGAACCTGCTAGCTAGAACTAAAATGTCAGCTAGAATAAGTACTTTTTAACTTCTTCCTGGTCAAAAGGGTTGCTTGGGATTTGTGCTTGCAAGGGGATTCTGTATATGCTTATAGAGAACCCAAAAGACTAGAAAACAAGAAGCCAACTCATTTGATGTGGGTGCTCCAGACAACACAAGAGGAATCTTTTTTTTTCTGTTGGAATCTGTGTGTAGCATATGTTTACTTCAACTTTCATTTTAAAAAGCCAGGAAATTCAAATCCTCAAAACATCTCTGCTTTATGCCTGGGATATTGTGCTTCTGTATCCACAATTCAAAATGCCAGGAAATGGCATGATATTGTACAGCAATAGATGGCTAGAGAACATATTGAAAAACAGCTCTGACAACTGTTCAGAAGTGGTCAACTCATGAAAAACAGAGTCAGCTGTTTCTGGAATTTTCCCTTGCTTGGTGTCTCTTTGGGAACAGTATTGAGCACAAGAGGGTATCCTGTTTAACTGCTGACACTGGTATTAGTAAAAGCAGCATGAATGTTGACAAAGCTTAGCATCCTTTTTCCTACTGGCAGTGCAGTCCTGATATTGTAATCATGGTGCTTTTCCTAGCACTTTGAATCATGGACACAAAAGAACAATATCCCACAGTCATAAACTGGAAGGTTTTTTGAAGAATTGAATTAACCTATATTTATTGCAAATTAACACTTTTTATTCATTAAGGAAAATGAATCAAAACGAGATGTCTTATTATGTCTTTCTTGTTCCACTGTTTGTGAGCAGGCAGATACTGTTTAAGTAGAAATCACTGAGATGGTCAAAATCTGATAGCTGCTTTTGACCATCTCGCTTTGAAAACCTACATCTGCAAAGAAATGTGTGTAACAGCTGAGAATATACCCTCCTTGATCCTTAAGCATGCAGATTTCTGCAGAAAAAAATCTGCTACATCGAAAATCATACCGATGTTAGAATGGAACAGAAGACATGGGTAGACCTATCAACTTCACATGGTTCAACTAATTTCTAGGATAATGAGTAGTTACAGAAAGTGGTTTCCCCAAAATAAAATAAATAGGAAAGTGCTCATGTACATACTCAACAGGAAAAAGCTTGACATGAATATCTCCCATGCTTGTGTGAATAATGGCACTATCAGAAACCCGTTTGGGTCCTTCTGCTTGAGTGGCTGCCATGACCTCCTCTTTAGATGGCTTCTCATTAAATACATCTCTGTCAGAATCTGCACTCTTGGTGTCTTCTGGTTCCCGCTTGGTAAACTAAAGGAAAAATGGAACACTTTTGTTTATTGTTGAGCCTCAAGAACTGGAAAGCATCCAGTGATCATATACCATTGTCTCCAAAAGATGTCCTCTCCTGATATCCTTCAGCAGTTTGTTTTGTTCTTTTGCAAAGAACTTCTGTCTTCCTGTCATCTGCAATTTTTAATGTCTTTTTCAATAATGGACAACTGTCAAATTATTTTACCCCATCCACCCCCTGCAAAAAGGTTATATTGCTTTCAGTAGACTGACTGTAGTGTCTTTTGTCTTCTAAGACTTTGTCAAAAAAAATCCCATGGAATGTATGTATTTTCTTCTTCATTTGCACAGCTGAACCTAATATTCTGGCTATGTCTTAATCAACATGGAGTTGTACTATTACGTTACTCTTCTTTCCTTTTTCTTTGAAATTATACTTCCCATTGGAAAAATGTGAATTGCCTGTAATAACCTATGGGAGAGACTTAAGCAGCAAGTTTTCCAAAACTTTCCACTAAATGTGCTGAAGTAGTAGTAGTAGTTTTAAACATAAACATTCAGTGTTAGGAATTATTATCAGGAAGGCTGAAAAGAAAAAAGAAAGACATGATGGTACCACAAACAAGCCTGTGGTGAAGCCACAATCGAAATGCTTGTTGGCTCATTACGTGTTGTAAGTTAGGAAAAGTACGTACAAAGTTTGTCAAAAAAAGAGAGACTCTGGTAGAAATGGAGCATTTTCTATGAGGAAAGGCTTGTTGTGGAACTTGGAGGATGAAGGAAAAGAAAGGGGAAAGTGAGCTGGTAGAAGATAGATGAACATTATCTTTAGCTCTTCCTGGTTTAAGACATAGGACAGATAGTTTACGATCCAAGGAAGTCACTCAACTGTTTTGAGGGTGGGATAAGGAGCTAATTCAACTGGAAAGTATAAACTTACCATATAAAATCTGTTCTTTTTAAAGGCAGTAGAGATTATAGTTGGATCTGCTTGGATGTTCTGCAGAACAGGATTATCAGATGCTTTCATCTCTACAGTAACGGCAGCACGATGTTTCTTTGCTACACCCTGGAACAGAGCCAGCTGCATAACTCTGATATTCTCCTGCTTGCCTAAGATTCTAACACATCTACACACAAGAAATAAAAATCCACAATCACCATTATGAAGGTTGGAAGTCACTATTTAATCTGCTCTTCCACAATCAAGAATATGATTCTTCTGGAATATTCTGATGCATTCTGAATCCATTTCAATTACTTGCAGTAACAGTTTCTTGCAAGTCTCCACAAATGGAGGGGGAGGGACATTCCCCATGTAGCAATGTACAGTATTTAAAAGCTTTGCCACTTTTGTCAAGACAGCAGCAGATGAACTGTCAAGATCAGATTAAATTCAGAGATAGAATAAAAGTCACAGCCTTCTCCGGCAATTCATAAAAGTAACATACTAATATATGTGGAAGTCTGTTAAAACCAATGGAATATGAGGAAGTGTTAGGCATCACATTTCAGAAGTCATTTTTGAAGTATACATTCTCATCTTATGAGTTGCACATGGCAAGATACTGTAAATGCTTTTGTGTGGTTTGGCATACTTTTAAACATGTGCAAACTCTCAAATTATGTGGGCATGTTTCTTCCAGCATCCACCAGGAATGTGTGAATTTGGGATCTCTACGTGGTTGGGCTGATCCACATTTAGAACACTACAGAGCTTGTGGGAAGCTGCTAATGACACATTAGCATTTTCAACAGCCTCTCACACCGAGGCCCATAATATTAGTCTATGGCAATGATGTCTAACTTTTTATGCTGGGGCTTAACTTTTATTATCCAGATATTGGTCTGGAGGCTAAGTGTATTTTGTTGCAAAACCAGACCCACAGAAATGGTCAGGCGCCACTGAAAAAAATAACAGTAGTAAGAGACTTCACTTTTGCAGAACAAATGCACTGAAGCACAGCCAAGACAATCTATGCAGCAAACTCATTCTCTGAGTGCCAATTGTTATGTAGCCAACATTCTGGCATTATCAAGAACAAGAGGAAGAAAGTGGCATACCTGGGGGAAACCCAAGGTTTTCAGAACTGCCTGCAAGATTAGAAGCAAGTTTGCTATCCCCAATCTAAGTGTTAGATGCCCATTTAGTTGCAGTCTTGACAACGCTGAGGTACAAACACGCCTTAAGATACAGAACAACTTGGACGGAATTTCACTGCCACAAAGTAACAAACTCAAACTCCTTCAGTAATTATGTAACTTCAGTAATTTTGATAAGCTGGGAAAGTTAGATGTTCTAACTTTACCCCAAGTCATGTAACACAGTGGTTTATTTTGAACGAGCAACATGTTGGTGCATGAAGCCCATTGCCGTTCACTTTGCTCTTCCCTGCTCCAGAGAATGCCAAACAAAAACAGGGCTGGTACCAACTGTTACTCCCAAATAGAGGAGCCGTACTGAATGAAAGGAATGTGTTAATTCAAACCTAATGTGTCTTTCATTTAATTCAGTGGGCTTAGCCCAAGGAAATATGTGGTTCACCCTGTCACTCTGAAGAAGATTGCTGTCTTGTCACTCCGGTGGCAAACTAGACCTGCAAGGTGTACGATTTCAGGTTTGTGAAAAAATCAAGCCAAGAAAGACTTCTCAGTTCGTTTAGCAGTTGCTGTAGGGAAGGGCAAGGCAGGACTGAATGGGCTACGTACACTTGGGTACAGCTTATTTGCCATAAGCCAAAATTCTGAAGAATCTCATCTTATCCTTCTATGGAAATAAAGCCTAAGTCTCAGCTGCCTTCTCTTATGTATGCATCCCCATGCATCTTGATTTTTTAAACCATATTAATAAGTAAATAAACATTCCTCTTTCATTTGGAAACAGTCAGCTCCTTCAAGTCCAATAAGCCAAACGACATAGATCAATTAATATCAATTTAATACAGCCATAGCTATTGGACTATATCCCATCTGCAAGCCCCTCATATATGTCCCCAATTAGCTACAAAGGGCAGAAAGGCTAAAAGAGTGGGGAGAAAATGCACACTGTGTAAGTGAATTCTGCTTACACAATGCTGAATTTAACCCACAGTACCAGTAGTAACATGAAGTGATACCTACCGGTTTGTTTCCACATTGATGACTTTAATTCCCAGCATTGTCCCATACAGTACAAAGTGACCGGTTTCATCAAAAATGATATTAATCAACCTTACAGCATCTACTTTTTCCAACTCACGCTCCACAGCCATACGGCGTCCAAATTCCATGTCAGGTAGCTGTTGCCTCATCTGTTGCAGCTCAGTAAACATCTATAAAAGCAAGAAAACTTCCTGAGAGTGCAGATTGACTCAGGTACATTATACCCATCAAACATAATGGGCAAAATCATATTGTGTAAAGTTATGCTGGTGTAAACCAGATCAGATGCTGGAAATAACTAATTAAATTAACTAAATCACCAGTGTCAGTCCAGATGGGATTTTTGACTATTAAATTCTCCCCACTCTATCCCGAGGCTCCCGAAAGCTTCTTAAGGGTAAAAGATAGCACAAGGGAGCCCCAGTATCTGAATGGGGGGGGGGAGAGTTACAAAACTTTCAGTTAGTTTAAATTAATTATTTCCAGAACCACTAGCATAATTTTATTCAACAGGCGTTTGCCTATGATCTAAATATAAAGCACATTTATGGAAATAAACATTATGGGTTCAATTAAGTAGTTTACATATAGTAGTACCTCGGTTCACATAATGTAATTTTCGGTTTACGAACAGAAATCCATTGAAAATAATGCCTCAGTTTATGATTTTTTTCCACAGTATGAAGCAAGTTTCCCTAGGATGCATTGTGCCTGGAGGTTTACAGTGCTGCCTCTGTTCCTACGGATTTTTCACATTATGTAATGTCCCGGAGAATGCATTAAATTTGTAAACCAAGGTACACCTGTACTTGAGTTTAGGATTACCGTAGTTATAAGAGAACTACTTGTGCTTAAAATATTTCATTCGTTTTAGAGCAAATAAACTGAAACACATAGAATTCTTACTTTATTATCTACTATCAACATCTGACAGTACTACATATTTACTATGGTTAACTGAGTAACCTGGTTAACTGATTTGTTTTCAGGCAATTTAAACACCTTTCTCTTATAAAGCAAAATAAACCAATTCTTTCCAGAGATATTTAAGGAGATGCTGGAGGGCCTTTTAAGGGCACAGTTATGTCCTGCACTGAACTAGGCCTCCAAGGTCAATTCCAACTCTAGCCAGAATTTCATTACTTACACCCACAAGCATAACACTCGTGGCACGACTTTTAGCAGTAAATTGTGAGAAGTTAAGAAGCTGGCATAGCCATTTCCTATCACATAACCATCATCTGACACAGCGTGTGACAAGCAATGGCTGTATAGTGGTGCCTCAACTTACGAACGTCCCGACATACGACCATTTCGAGTTGCGACCAGCTCCGGTCGCAAAATTTTGCTTTGACTTGCGGCCGGAGCTTCGAGTTACAAACAAAAGAGGCAGTGGAAAAAGGCAGGGAATTCAAATTAGAGGGCTAACCATTGGTCGGCAAAGAGTTTTTGTAGCTCTTTTGCCTGAACAGCTAGTGTGCGCGTGTTTGCAGACAGGCTTCGGACTCTCTGGTGCCACTTTCTGCTTCTGGGTGAGTACATTTACAGGGTTTTGCATGGTGGGTTTGGGGGCAGCTATGTTTCTGTGCTGTGATTTGGTTTTTTGTTTGTTTTTTTGGTGTTTTTTCCTAGCCCCATCGCATTCTGATGGAGCTGGCTGTGGGGTGTGTGTTGTTTTTGATTCCCCCCCCCAGCCCCACCACGTTCTGATGGAGCTCGCTGTGTGTGTGTGTGGGGGGGTATTTTTGATTTTTTCCTCCCAGCCCCATCGCCTTCCGATGGGGCTTGGAGTGGTTTTGTGTGTGTGTGTGTGTGTGCGATTATTTTTTTCCGCTGGTACGGATTAATGAGGTTTCAATGCATTCCTATGGGAAATAGTGCTTCGACCTACAACCATTGCGGGTTATGCCCATCTTCCGGAACGGATTATGGCAATAAATCGAGGCATCACTGTACTAATTTATTTTCTTGTGGCAATTTGTCACTGAAAGTTAGGCCACTGAGTTTATGCCCTCAGAAATATACAAACAAGATCCAGCCACGGATTTCACAAATTAATATTTACAAATTAATTTTTCTTCTTGATTGTTGAGTTAAATGGGACACCCAATTTTAACAGAATCTTAATTGCATACAACTAGCCCACATACTTTAAAGGTGGATAATTTAAAAAAAAATTAATGACTAAAATACAAATTGATTAACATAATAATTAATGTCAAAATAGCTGCAATTTAAAGCTGAAAAAGAGAAATTACCCCCTACCAAGAAGTTTTTATGTTCTATTTACAAAGAAAATCTTGTCTTTTAAAAAAGACTATGCTGCCAAGCAAATGAATATGGGAGGAGGAGACTTACACTCAAGGATTCATCAAAGACTCTCATAAGTTTCCCTGTTAAAAATCTGAAAATTCGGACTTTTCTGTCAGATCCAATAGTACCCATTTTTTTGCCATCAGGGGAGAAACATATGCTGGTTGGGTATGCTTTGCCCTTGGCAAATTCATACAGATCAGTGTCTGTTTTATATTCCCAGTTTACATTTTTAGGAAATTTGTATTCATGTGGAGGTCCCGTCCAGTATTCAATCATTCCAGATTTGTCGGATGATACTATTACTTTATAGACAGCGTTCAGTCGTATCTGAGTAAGCGGGAATGTATGGAGTTTGTCAAAAACATGAAGTGGCTGGTTATTTCCTCGTCCGTCATATATGAATATTTTCCCAGTACTCTTTTCAGATGCTGCAACTGAAGATATCGCATCACCTGGGCAGTATATCCATTCACACTGGCCTGGATAGTACCTAAAATAAAACAGAATACCCAGTGCATTTTAGGATTATAAGTGAAAGTCCTTGTTTAAATACTCCAAAAAGATTTTTACAAGTACAGTGGTGCCTCGCACAACGAGTGCCTCACACAACGATGAATTCACACAACAATGCCTTTTTCTGTTAAATTTGCTGCCTCACACAGCGATGTTTCCTATGGGGGATTTTCACACAACGATCTCCCTTTTCGCTCCTGTAAAAGTGTCTTACAATGTTTGGACGCTGTTTTAAATGATTGCAATGGTTAGTCCACCTCCTGAAACCTATGCAAACTGATTTTGGTGTTGTTCTGACACTT